ATTTCGGTTCTTTCGGGGATGTTCTTGGCGTAGAGGACCCTAAACCCGAGGGTTTAGGGTTGATAGGGTTTATAGGGTTCATAGGGTTTATAGGGTTTTTGGGGATTACAGGGTTTAGGGTTTAGGACTGCAAGGGGTTTAGGGTTCAGGGTTTTGGGTTCCCCTAAACCCTATAAACCCTAAATGGTCTTGGAGTGCTCTTGGAGTGCTCTCATGGAGTTTGTGCTGGCCACACAGCCACACAGCACCTTCAAAACCCCACACTGCGCCTTTTTAAGGCATCCCCCCCAACCCGTACAGCCCCCTAAACCGTAGACCCTAAACCCTAAACCCAAAACCGTAAACCCTAAACCCAAACCCTCAAGGGGCGCTGGGGGGCGTGGGCCTCCCGGGTGCAGGGGTTTAGCTAGGGGATAGTATTTAGGGAGACGCTTGGGGACATAGACCCTCTGAATAAGGTCCCTGTTAAAGAGGCCAGAAGAGGGTTAAGAAGGGTTCCCTTTAAACCCTAAACCCTAAACCCTAAACCCTAAACCCTAAACCATAAACCCTAAACCCTAAACCCTAAACCCTAAACCCTAAACCCTAAACCCGAACCCTAAACCCCAAACCCTAAACCCTAAACCCTAAACCCTAGGTTGAAGGGTCACCCTTATCCTTCCTAGGATTAGCACGCTGTGGGATGTACGCCCGAGCTCTGGAGTCTAGGTTCAGGAGCTCTGGAGCTCTGGGGTTGGTTCGCAGGGCTTATTGGTTCAGGGTTTAGGGTTTGGGGTTTGGGGTTTAGGGTTTAGGGTTTGGGGTTTAGGGTTTAGGGTCTAGGGTCTAGGGTTTCAGGTTGGAGGGATGGGGGTTCCGGGTGCTTTTTGGGGGTTTGCGGCGGCCTGCATCAGGGGGCCGGAGGGGCTGGGGGGGCGCGTGCGTCAAGCGGGGAGGAGACCCACACACCCAAACTCATCAGACTTACTCATCGGGCAGGTTAAGATGGCATGCATGAAACTCTGAAGTCACGCTGTTCGGGGTTTAGGGTTTCGGGCTTGCAGGCATGCTTCTGCATCTTCTTCTTGGCATAGTCGCCGTTGATCGGGCACTCAGCGCGACATCCGAAGCATGTGCAAGAAATGTGATTCCTGAAGCACAGGTCGTCATAGTCAACGTACTCATAATAGGCCCAACTGTTGGAACGATGATGAGAGCCATGGGAGCCACGGACATGGGGCGGGCTCTGGCTGAGCCGGAAGGCCAAAACACGTGACCGCACATTGACAAACGACTCTTGGAATGTCGACTCCTCTGAGATTGAGGTGTCGAATGTTAGGAAGGCACCCGGCCAACCACTCCACAGACCTTCCCCAAAGCTGTCGGCCAAGTCCTGGTCCACGCTGCTCTTGGCTAAGACCTCTTCCTTGGTGAGTCGGACAAACTTGCCCCCAAGGAGTGCCAGCTGCGTCGCCACCTGGGACAGATGCAGCCGGGTCTCTGCCAAGGATGAGGAAGGGAGCTGGCCCAGAGCACGTGCCCGCTCGATTCGGCTATTCCTCAGCCTGCAGCAGAGTCTGGCGAGGTCCACATCCTCCTCCAACGCCCGGGCCCTGAATTCCACACAGGCGGCAAAGAAGCCGAGGACGCAGTCGAAAGCATCCTCCCCCGAAGGTGACACCTTGAATCTGTTGGCCCCCCGCTGGAGCAGGGTTTCTGCAAGCTCCGCCAAGCCACGGCTGCAGGCAGACAGAAGTGGTGTGTAGGAGTCGTTCGACTGCTCATGGACATCGCATCCTGATTCCAAGAGCCAGGAGGTCACTTCCTTGATTGCACTTCGCGGCACGTTGCTTGCTGCGAGCTCCAGCATGTTGTCCCCGTAATGGTAGAAGTCCACTGCGCCTGCCTGGCCTGTCCACGAAGGCCCGTGAAGCACGCCCACGCGCCGGTAGTGGCGGCGGAACTGATCCTCTGGCAACCTGCGGCGCAGTAGGCACCAGAGAGAGCTGCTGCGCCGCCTCACATCTGCATCCATGGGCACCTCGCACGCACAGCTGTTCACTGGGGGGCGTTGTCCACTAGCACGCGTTACGAGGACCCGGGTTCAGGAGCGCAGATCACTAGATTACGCGGAGCTTCGTGCGCTTTTCGAAACAGAGTTCCTGGAAGCTTTCGGCGACAGCGAAACAGAAAAGGCCGCCGATACCAAACACGGAGAGCCCCAAATGTTGTGAGCATTTCCGAAACAGAGAGCGGCCCGAGAGAAAATACGAGAACCTCAAGTCCCGGAAGCCGAAATATATGTGGCCCCAAGTGTTTGAAACACCCTCGTTTTGAACCCACCCAGAATCCAAAACCCAAAACCCAAAACCCGCAAGTGGTCTAAACTCAAAGAGTGCACCCTTTAAACCCTAAACCCTAAACCCTAAACGCTAAACCCTAAACCCTAAACCCTGAACCCCATAAACCCCAAGCCCTAAACCCCAGGCGCCGTCACCGCGTGGACTTCCAGGGTCTTGTCTTCTGTGCGTACAAGCTCATCCAGGCGCCCTGCGGCAGGCTTTCAGGCTGAGGGTTTAGGGTTAGGGTTTAGGGTTTAGGGTTTAGGGTTTAGGGTTTAGGGTTTAGGGTTTAGGGTTTAGGGTCTAGGGTTTAGGGTTTAGGGTTTAGGGGTTAGGGTCTAGGGATTAGGGTTTAGGGATTAGGCTTTAGGGTTTAGGGATGTTCCCCCTTATACTAACAATCGAGTCCTTAATAGGGATGATAGTGCCCCTCACTAGAAATCCTATTAAGGACTGTTAGTATGAGGGGGAACATCCCAAAATTTCAGGTTTACCTGGACCCCCACAGTTTTTTTCAAGAAGGCCCAAAAGCCAGAAAAAGGATCAGCAATTACATACTTTGCACCCAAACCCTAAACCCCAGACCCTAAACCCTAAACCCCTTGCTGGCTTTAAGTCCAACAGCAGAAACCTCAAGCCCTACACCCCGAAACCCCTTCAGGGGGGGTTTTGTGGCTCTCCTGCTTTGTCCAGGAGTGCTCCGTCAAGCACGAGGTGGAGCTGCCATTCGGACACGCCCAGTGCGCGGCTGACCTCTCGGCTTTCGCCGCGTTTAGGGAATGAGGGGGGATTCCGTTCATCCCTAAACCCTAAACGCTAAACCCCAAACCCTAAACCCTGAACCCTGAACCCTAAACCCTAATACCCTTAACCCTTAGCCCCAAAACCCAAAACCCGAAACCACGAGACCTGGCTGCGATCCACGTGCTCTTACAGGCCACCCTGCAGCCCTGTCCTTCGCCCCCCCCCCAACAGGGTTTAGAACCCTAAACCCTAAACCCTAAACCCTAAACCCTAATTAGCCAAAGGGCTGCACCCTTAGTGTCCCCAAACCCTCAACCCTACTTTACACCCTGGTTCTTAGTAAGGAATGAGGGAATTAGGGCCCTATATGGACCCTTTATGGGCTTATGTAGGGCCCTCATTCCCTCATTCCGTGCGGCTAAGAACCAGCCAGTTTATCGCTTCTCCAGTTTTCTGAGATTCAACTTTGAATCGCTGGCGGCTTCTAATGTGGGGGCCTTAAAAATTAGAATAGGGTTTTGGGAGGTTGTTCTAGTGAAATTAAATAGGACGCATAAGGGAATACTGCTTGTCATTTTTCTGACCCAGAAGGGAATACTGCTAGTCATTTTTCTGACCCGTATAGTAGGCCAACACCCCCAGGCTGAAACGAAGCTAAGCACAGAACCCTGAACTGCTTCATGAAGAGGGACCAGAAGGGAACACCTTGAGTAATTATTCGACCCCTCTATTGGCTGAAAGTCTATGCCAGGTCAGCTCGGGCTGCGAGATTGCTCAAGGAGCGAATGCTGTCGTCGCGGTACATCGAAAGCTCCACCGTCATGCCGGACATACTGCTGGCCAGGACCTGGCTTAGGGTTTAGGGTTTAGGGTTTAGGGTTTAGGGTTTAGGGTTTAGGGTTTAGGGTTTAGGGTTTAGGGTTTAGGGTCTAGGGTCTAGGGTTTAGGGTTTAGGGTTTAGGGTTTAGGGTTTAGGGTTTAGGGTTTAGGGCAGCTCTATGGTCCCTTAATGTGGTCCCTTAGCGCCTTTAAAGGGTTCTGAAGTATGGGCCCTTGGGTTGTTTAGGGTATACAGCTAAGGGGCATATATAAGGGGTCCCCATTCCAGGTCCCATATCAAGGGACCATGAAGCTACCCTGTAAGAAACATTCTCAAACTTATCCTTACGCCCATGTGCCCTCATCACAACGTGCGTGTGGTGAGTCGTATAAGGACTATTGCGCAGCTTGCCTGCAGCCGATGAGTCTCCATGGCCATACCGATCCCAGAGTGGCTACAGGTGTCACTCCTTACTGAGCCGTGCACGCTGCACAAGGCACCACATGAAGCACCTTAGCGTTTAGGGTTTAGGGTTTAGGGCTTAGGGTTTAGGGTTTAGGGTTCAGGGTTTAGGGTTTCGGGTTTGGGGTTTGGGGTTTGGGGTTTAGGGTTTAGGGTTTAGGTTTTGGTTTAGGTTTAGGGCTTGCCGCAACTGCTTGTTGCCAGCAATCTCTCTGACAACCACGATTTCTTGCTCCTCGCTGCCGCATGCATGCCAGCAAAAGGTACAATATCACTATGATCGGCGGGCCCATTCTAAGGCATGTTTGAGATTTTTTGCTGAGGTTACGCAGCGACATAATTTCATAGGCTCCGATCACTACATGGAGACCCCAAGCTTAGGATCCCACATGGTCACTCCTCTAATTACATGATGGTCCCCTTTGAGGTTACTATTCTAAGGCGGCACCTCATATTTGGGGTACTCAAAACAAGACCGTACCTTTAAGAACTGACCACATGGGTACTTTCCCCTTGTTTATACCCCAAACATAATCGAACCCCGTTAAAGGGACCCCCGAAATACCCCTATTCTCGGAAACCCTCCAAACCCTAAACCCTAAACCCCAAACCCTAAACCCCACGTGGCGCAGGAAGGTTGCTAAGCTTGCGACTCACCACGTTTGGGGCGGCTCGGGGCGCCACCTCAGCACAGCGACGGAGCCCGGGGTTCCTTGAGCCCTCTAAACCCTAAACCCTAAACCCTAAACCCTGAACCCTGAACCCTGAACCCTGAACCCTGAACCCTGAACCCTGAACCCTAAACCCTAAACCCTAAACCCTAAACCCTAAACCCTAAACCCTAAACCCTAAACCCTGAACCCTGAACCCTGAACCCTAAACCCTAAACCCTAAACCTTGGTAGCCCAGTAACCATATGGGGGTTTCCGACATTAGGGGTACCATATTAGGGTCCTTATTATCAGGGAATCCTACTATTTGGGGGTCTCCATTGGAGGTCCCAAAACAGGGAAAAGGGTACCACTGGGCTACCAAGAAACCCGAAACATGCGGCTGAACACGTAGGGGAAGAATGAATTCGATATGCCGTAGGGGTGATGTCCGTGTGACAATCTGTATCCCTGAAGGTTTAAGGTTTAGAGTGCAGGGTCTAGAGGTTGAGGGTTTAGAGCTTTGGGTCTTGGGATGCTTCCTGTTCAGGGTTTTAGGGTTTAGGGTTTAGGGTTTAGGGTTAGGGTCTAGGGTCTAGGGTCTAGGGTCTAGGGTCGAGGGTCGAGGGTCGAGGGTCTAGGGTTTAGGGTTTAGGGTTTAGGGTTTAGGGTTTAGGGTTGGGTTCGGCCGGTCCACACTAACAGTCACCACGAGCAGACCCACAAATAAAAGCACCCGGTAAATGCCAAAAAACTGACTGGGATTCCTGCTATTCCTGGTGCTATTCCTGGTGCTATTTCCGGTGCTATTTCTGGTGCTATTTTTTGTGCTATTCCTGGTGCTATTTCTGGTGCATTTTTTTGTGCTATTCCTGGTGCTATTTCTGGTGCTATTTTTTGTGCTAGTGTTTGTGCTATTTCTGGTGCTATTTCTGGTGCTGTTTCTGGTGCTATGTGACTAACAGTCACCATCAGCAGACCCACAAAAAACAGCACCCGGTAAATGCTAAGCTCTAAAATTGACTGGGATTCCTGGTGCTATTTCTGGTGCTATTTCTGGTGCTATTTTTTGTGCTATTCCTGGTGCTATTTCTGGTGCTATTTTTTGTGCTATTGTTTGTGCTATTTCTGGTGCTATTTCTGCTGCTATGTGACTAGCAGTCACCACCAGCAGACCCACAAAAAGAAGCACCCGGTAAATGCTAAAATTGAACGGGATTCCTGGTGCTATTTTTGGCCTGGGTGTTATAAGGCCACGGCGTTATTTGACTGTTAGTGTGGACCGGCCGAACCCAAGTTTAGGGTTTAGGGTTTAGGGTTTAGGGTTCAGGGTTCAGGGCTTCGGGTTTGACCACACTCATGACGTGGAAGGGGTGTGGCAACCTCGGGGTTCAGGGCTCAGGGCATAAGAACTCCAAATGGCACCATCATACTCCTTGTCCCCTGAGGCACTCAGAGTTTTGCGATGCTTTGCGCACGCTTTGGCGATCTCCACTGCGCACAAAAAGGGGGAGGGAGGGGCAGGATGCTGATTTTCTTCAAAAAAAACATGCACATAGGGAAGTCCGATCTCTAAAACCTGTGACGATTTGGTCTTGTTCCCGGTTATTTCACCCCGATCAATGTGGTTGCTGAGTTTCCGTGAGCAGCGTGGTCGAAAAATCGGACGGAAGGATTAAGATTCTTTAATTCCAAAAATGGAAAAGAAAATCTGATCCCCAACTTGAGGGTTCGCAGTCCTAACCAAAAAAGCACACAAGCACCACCCCAATCCGAAAGCCCTTTGCCCTCAAAGTACAAACAAAGGGTTTAGGGGTTCAGGGTTTAGGGATGTACTTGAAGGTTCATAAACGTAGGGTTTAAGTACCCCAAATAAGCAAGTATAGCTACCATACTTATAGCCCTGCTGAAAACTACCCACCAGGCATATAGGGCTTAGGGCTTAGGGATTACACAGGGCTTGTGTAGGGTAGAATCAAGAAGCTGTTACCCGATGACTTGCTGATGACATGCAAGTGGAAGACAGTGTGACGAAGTATGGTGGGCTGTTGAAAAATGGGATCTCTTTTTGGGTTCTGGTTTGGGATGTTTGCCCTTATACTAACAATCCGTAATGGGGATGAACATAGGGGGTTGCTATCATCAGTTCTTGTTATGAAGAATCTCATTACAAGGTTCCGGGGCACCGTGGCTAGTGTGGCCAGAACCCCCCATGAAAGCGCAGCGCTAGCCACACAGGCGGCGGATATTCTGACTTGCCATCTCGCGCGTTGCAAGGTCATGAGCAAGTCTGGGATGTGTACTATGGGGGGCCGTGCAGTGCCTTACATTCATGGGAAAAGAGACCCTAAACCGCTGAACCCTTAAGCCACACTGTAAGAGAGCTAATTCTAAGCCAAGGCACCAGGGATGCAAGCGACGTACTTGGTGGGCAAGAGCCTGGCGCAGGCACTTGGGAGCTTTCCGAACTTGGGGGCACCTTCTTGGGGTCCTTACTATAAGGGAATCCTACTATTTGGGGCTATTTTTAGGGGTCTCCTATTTTCGAAAACAACCACTTGGGCTTAGGGTTTCGGGCAGTAGCAGTGACTGCGACCAGCAGCTCTCGGAGAGTGCCTGCTCACAGCACCTTGACACTCGAAATGGAAGTGTGGGTCCTGGCAGGACAACTCGACCCAGGAGGAGCCATAGGAATACCGAAGGCGGCCATTTTGGCTTTTAAGGGGGTCTTAGAAGGGAACCCCAGCCGTCAAAAAAAATGGAAGGAAGGGCCTACTCCGGGTCCTAGACAAAAGCTGGCCTCTCCACGGCGATGTGGTCCCGGTTGTAGCGGGAGGCTGGCTGGGGCGACGGGTAGTCCAGAAGATCCGACTCCTGCAAGAGGGGTGGTCAGTTCCCAGGGGACTCCAAGGCCCCCTTAAATTAAGGAAGTATTTCTCATAAGAGGGCTTCTTATATGGTCTAAGGAAGATTCCTTAAAACCAAAAGAGGGTTCCTTACATGGTTTCAGGATTATTCCTCAATTAAGGGTGTATGGGAGTCTCTGGGAAGGCCCGTTGGAAACAAAGTGGTCAAGATCTGTGGTGGCATGAATACCTGTCACTTCTGCAACTGCTTGAATAATTTAGGGGCCTAAATCATTAGCGTAGGGTTTTAGGGTTTAGGGTTTAGGCAACGGTTTAGGGGTTAGGATTTAGGGCCTTAATCATTAGAATAGGGTTGTGGGGGGTAGTATAGTACAACTCGAAAGGGACCATAAGGGAATACCGTTAGTAATTATTCCGACCCCTAAATTACTTGGAGGCCCCTTTGACTAGCTAGGTCTACTTAGTAAACCCCTAGAACCCCGATTATTATCCCCATAACCCAAACTTTCTAACCCGACTTACTGGGTCAAAAGAGCTTCCAAGTAGGAGTTAGCTTACGAACTGCCATGTCTCAAGTCTGGGTTTATAAGGTTTACAGTACCGTAGCCCTAAACCCTAAACCCTGAACCCGAAACCCTACGGAAACGGTAGAAGTAGAGGGCCTAGAGGGCCCCAAGAAGCGCTGCAAGAAAAAACTTGCTCAATCGGGGGAGGAGGGGGGGAGTCCTCCTCCAGCAAGGGCCAATGCTGACGCATTCCCACGATGACCTCCTCTTCAATCCCCATGATGTCCTGCGCTTCAATTGCAGTTTGAGTTCCGGGGGTTTAGGGTTTAGGGTTTAGGGTTTAGGGCTTAGGGCTTAGGGCTTAGGGCTTAGGGTTTAGGGTTTAGGGTTTAGGGTTTTCGCAGGATGGTGGGGGGGGGGGGTCTTTCGCCCTCGCAAGTTTGGCCTGGCTGGGTTGGGGTTGGGGTATAGGACTTCTCGATGATACATGCTCCAGTCGCATCAAAACTTCCATAAGATCAACTCCTGGCCCGCACCCCCCCCCCCCACCCCCCCAAAAAAAAAAGTAAGGAAGGTCAATAAACCGTATGGACTCCTCAGCTCCGCCCATAGAAAAACACGATCACCTCCCCAAACCCTAAACCCTTAAACCCTATAACCCTATAACCCTTTTACCTAACCCTATAACCCTATAACCCTATAACCCTATCCCTATAACCCTATAACCCTATAACCCTATAAACCCTAAACCCTTAACCCTAAAACCCTAAACCCCCGCAAAGCCAAAGTCCCCTCCCCAAACCAAAACTGATGCTTGGAACCTCCCAACCATCCATCCGGAAGCGCAGCTTCAGCATCCTCGGCGACATCTTGCTGCATGTTTTCAAGGCCGAAGAAGGGAAATCTTGAGATTTCATACCCCCCAGTACTCAAGCCCCTACTCCTCATATGCACCCTAAACCCTAAACCCTTAACCCTAAACCCTAAATCCTGCGGAAGCTTTTCAACCCTACATCTGCCCTCTAGGCTTGCAGGGTGGACATGGGAACCCCTCCGAGGGGCTCGAGGAAGTGGTCGCGGAGCCGGGGCTTCTCGTTTTTGGCCTTCCAGCATCTGCTTGAAGGTTCATGGGACTTACTAACCAATTATAACTGTACTTGTAACCCTACTTATAATACCCCTAAACGGCCTTATAGGGGCTATCCCAATTATAAGTAGGGTTATAAGTACAGTTATAATTGGTTAGTAAGTACCATGAACCTTCAGATACCTTCAAACATGCTAGCGTTTGGGGTTTGGGGTTTGGGGTTTGGGGTTTGGGGTTTAGGGTTTAGGGTTTAGGGGTCCTGAATATGAACTAAGCTGTCTTTTTATGGAGCTTTTACATGCGTACGAACTTCCCAAACTTCAGATGGAGGTTTACGAAAATAAGGACCCCAAATATAGGCCCCCCTAGACTGCTGGATTCCCTCGCAATAAGGACCCCAATAAGGTACCCCTAACTTCGGTAAACCCCCACATCGGATTTCGAGGCACACTTCTGTAAATGCGCACATCCTCGTCGGAGAATTTGTGTGTGCAGTGTGTGTGCTTGAGGATCACAAGCTTCCTCCTGACCGACTGCAGACACAAACTGCTTTTATGGTGCTGGTCATCGGACAAAACACTATAGATAGCTGATTAACAATCTCCGCACGCATTCTGGAAGGGCTTGGGGAACAGGATCCTTCTCTAAATCCTACGGGCTGCAGGGAAGAGTTTGTTTCATTGTCAAAAGGGGTGAGCTCCTAAAGTTGCAAAGGCTACCTCCAAGTAGACCTTTACACTGCTTCCTTGTTAGGGTAATGTTGAAAATGACCATGTTCATGTCTTATCGTGAATTTAATATGACAAAAACTTACAGTCATATCCAACAAGGACCCTTTAAACCCTAAACCCTAACCCTAAACCCTAAACCCTAACCCCAGACCGTAAACCCTAAACCTTAAACCCTAAACCCTAAATCCTAAACCCTAAACCCTAAACCCTAAGCCCGAAGCCCTAAACCCTAAACTCATACAACTTAAACCCTGAAATCTGAGTTGTTGACAAGCTCCAGCACTTGAATGTCGCGCTGCTCTTGGAGCCTCGGTGTTGAGAGTTTCAATCAAGGGTTTAGGGTTTAAGGTTTCGGGTTTGGGGTTTCGGGTTTAGGCCTTAGGACTTAGGGTTTCGGGTTTGGGGTTTAGGGGTTTCATATTGCAGTTCCTCTTTGTTGACCAAAAAGCGTGACTTTTTCCATGACCTATTCCCAACCGTAGAAGGAGGTACACCAAAAGGAACTGCAAAGGGGGCTGTGCCATTCAATCTACACCCTGTCTCTGGCTTCCCGTACGTCTGTGCCCTAAACCCTAAACCCTAAACCCTAAACCCTAAACCCTAAACCCTAAACCCTAAACCCTAAACCCTAAACCCTAAACCCTGTGGAGTTCCTCGAGGCACGGGCTCTTCGCCCTTCTTTCCACGAAGTTTGTTCCTGCCATGTGTGCTTGGGCTCAGGTCTACCTAAGTTTAGGGTTTAGGGTTTAGGGTTTAGGGTTTAGGGTTTAGGGTTTAGGGTTTAGGGTTTAGGGTTTAGGGTTTAGGGGTACCGGAACCATACTCTTTGACAAAGCATATGGATTCTCCTGGAGCTGTTGGAAGATAGAGGATTACTCCAGGTCGGACAAAAAATAGTGTGCTTCACAGCAGTCGAGGCAGGTTCTGCAAGTGGCATTCGCAAAGCCCTTACACTCTAAACTAACCCTAAACCCTAAACCCTAAACCCCAAACCCTCAACCCTATAGACCCCAAAGCCACTCCGGGAGATGCTGAATTTCTCTTTGCCCCAAAGCTCAGCCCCTCAACGGCCTCAGGAAACAAGGGCTTCAGGCGCACCCTAAACCCTAAACCCTCGAGAACCCTGAACCCTCAACCCGAAACCCTATAAACCCTAAACCCTCAACCCTAGAAGGGACTTCATGGCTCCAAGCAGGTCGGACGTGCCACCAATCCTGTGCACCTCAGAAGTAAGGTCTTGGGGTAGGGTTTAGGGTTTAGGGTTTAGGGTTTAGGGTTTAGGGTTTAGGGTTTAGGGTTTAGGGTTTAGGGTTTAGGGTTTGGGCTCAAGGGCTCTGACTGAGCTGGTCTACAGGAACCTCTGCGTTCTCGGTGTTTTTGGAGATCGCTTCTAGAAATCCCCTACTTGAAGGTTCAGGATTTAGGGTTTAGGGTGTAGGGAGTAAGGTTTAGGGTTTTAGGGTGTAGGGCTCAGGGTTAGAAGTCCTTCGGTTTAGCCTTATCCCTGCGCTTGGGATGTTCGGACAGATTCCTTCGACATGATCCCAGTGTCCCTAGCACAAATAAAAGAGTCTTGCTTGGGATGTCCCCCTGGGAATAAGAGTCCTTAATAGGGTGGTACTTTTGTCCCGATTCAGGACTGTTAGCATAACTACTATTTGCTTAAGAACCCCACAAGAAGAAAAAATAATAGTCCCTATATTATCCTTATAAGGAAAATTATTTGTTATGTTTTGGGGATTCTTAAGCATGGGGAACATCCTAAAGTGTTGTGTACTCAAGAACTTTCCAAGTGTCCCCAAAATTGGGTTCCTGGGTTTGGGGTTTGGTTTCTTGCTGTATATGGGGGGCGCGCTCCCAAAATAGGGGTAACCCGCATATATATATATATATATATACACAATTACTAATGTCTTTACAAGTTTTGTATAGAACCCCAAAGCCTATTTTCGTAAACCTCCATATCTGAACTTGCAAGCTAGACAAAGTGCTTAGTCAGTGCCTAAACCCGGAACCCCTCCGACAACGTTGAAAACAAACAACCCTAAACCCTGAACCCTGAACCCGAAACCCTAAACCCCCCTGACACCCGAAAGCCCAAAAAACCTCACTGGGCCCGCCGCGCTTGGCCAGCTTCTTCGACTCTTGGACGGCAAGGCTGGCGGCATCCTCCCAAGCCGGGCGTGAGGAGGATTTTTCGGGCTGCTTAGGCCTAATCAGCAAGTCCAACACCCCTTAATTAAGGAAGAACCATAAAGAAGGAACCCTTCTATATTTTACGGAGTAATATTCCTGAACTAAGGAGTATTGGAGTCTCTGGGTATTGAGGGCTTAGGGATGCAGCTCGGTTCAACATGGCTTTCTTGGTGATGCAAGATGCACTGCAGAGGGGCTTCGGGTTTTGGGCGTAGAGTGAAGGAATAGGGGTTAAGGTTTAGGGGTTAGGATGTGCAAGAGGCTTAGACCTTTTCCTTCCTTTTGTAAACCCTAAACCCTAAACCCTAAACCCTAAACCCTAAACCCTAAACCCTAAACCCTAAAGAGGGGGGGGGGGTCAGGGCTCAGGGCGATATTAGGGTTGCGCGCAGCTTTGTGGGGTCGACGTGTTCTGGATGAGGGCTTAGGATGTATGGTTTAGAGTATGGCGTTGAGGCATTTTTTTTCTCACAATACAGGGGATTGCTCATAAAAACGGGGGGCCGAGAATTTAGGGTAGCTTGCGGGGCATTCGAGGGAGACTGCACAAGAAAAGCAACATCTACCAAGCATCCCTCGTGGGCTCTGCCGTAGAGGTTGGGTATGATGGAGGCATGCAGGCATACCACCTTGAACTCGAAACCTTCGAACCGACGCCCCCCAAACCCCCAAACCCTAAATCCCTAAGCCCCCCAAACCCTTAAAAACACCTGAGTCTCACCCTAAACCCTAAGTCCTAAACCCTAAGCCCTAAACACCCTAAACCCTGAACCCTAAACCCTAAACCCTCAACCCTTAAATTGGGCTTGCAAGCCTCGACGGCGCCCTTTGCCACGTCAGCGACCGCGGCCACTTTGCTTAAGGCTGCCCTGAGGGCTTCGGATCTCTAGCTGGTTTAGGGTTCAGGGTTTAGGGTTTAGGGGTTTAGGGGTTTAGGGGTTTAGGGGTTTAGGGGTTTAGGGTCTTTGGGGTTAAAGGGGCTTCGGGCTTCGGATCTCTAGCAGATTTCGGATTTGAGGTTTGCAGCTTCAGGGTGTTAGGGGAAAGGCTCCAAGGGTTTGGGGTTTGGGGTTTGGGGCTTGGTTGCATCGCGACTTCTGGGGTTCAGCGTTGGCCTTTCTGTCTTGAATTGTGTGTGTGTGTGTTCTAGCCAGTGGGGTGTCGGCCCTCGTGGTTGCGCACTTTGACTTTCCCTGTGCTTAGGGTTGTTTTGCTGAAACAACATTAACCAAGGCTTATACTTGGAGGTTCATGTGTAAGGCTATAAGTGCCCTAAGTTGGGTTAGAACCATACTTATAATCCTACTTTGAGCTACCCATGAATCTTCAAGCAAAGCTTGTACGGTTATGAGGCCTTCTACCGGCAGTAAGGGTTTCAGGTAGGGAAAAACCGCCGTCGAGTAGTGCCACGACATTCAACCTGGGGAGGTTCCCCTGCTTATGCAGGACGCAGTGGGATTAAGGTTTCGGGTTGAAGGTTTAGGCTTATAGGGTATAGGGTTTAGCAGTTTAGCGTTTCCTGTCGAGGGTCAAGCTTTACATCAGGGCAATTTTTCCCTAAACCTCTTGAACAACCCGCCTCAACCCCTAAGGTTCTAAACTCTTTGCTTGAGCCATAAACCTTAAACCCAACACGCTAAACCCCTGAACCCTAAACCTCAAACCCTCAACTCCTCACCCCTAAACCCTACCACCAAACCTGCCAAAAAAACAACGTCCGGTCTACCCGTCAAGTCTACTAATTGCTGAAGAACCCCCCCCAAAACAAAAACATATTCTTCCTTATTAAGGGCAATGTAGAGATTGTTCTCTTCCATTTTTTGGTGATTCTTAAGCAAGTCGTAGAAATACCACACTCCAGATCATCCTCAACACCAAGACCCCCACACCCTCGAACGGTTTGACCGGTTTGCTCAGGTTGGTGCCCCTTCACCCGGTCCAATGATGCTTCGAACCTAAGGACGCTTTAGGGTTTAGGGTTTAGGGTTTAGGGTTTAGGGTTTAGGGTTTAGGGTTTAGGGTTTAGGGTAACAGGGGTTGAGTGGGGCGGGGGTTCTGAAGCGGTCGAGATTCCCTTGTTTTGCTTTGTGGCTAAGGGCTTAATGCACATTGGTTGGGATGTTCCCCCTTATACTAACAGTCCTCAATAGGGATTATAGTACCCCCGATGGTAATCCCCATTAAGGACTGTTAGCGTACGTGGGAACGTGCCAAACCCTAGACCCTAAACCCTAAACCCTAAAGCCGAAACCCGAAACCCTAAAACGCATTGGGCTTGGGCAACTTCGGGCATCTTTGCCAATCGGAGCGGGATGGTCGAGGTTCAAACGGATCTACAATCGAATTCCCAAAATAGGGGGTTTAGGGTTTAGGGTTTAGGGTTTCGGGTTAAGGGGTTAGGGTTTAGGGTTCAGGGTTACTCTTCATGCACCCTAAAATACCACATATTCCTTGTTGAGTCATTCTATTGTACTACCCTGAGCCCGACGAACCCTGAACCCCAAACCCAAAATCCTAAACTCCTTAGGCGTCGTGAGGACCCAGGGACTCCAATACCCCTTAATCAAGGCACATTCCTTAATAAGGGTTCCTTATATGGTTTAGGGAATATTCCTTAATTACCCTAAACCCTAAACCTTCAACACTAAACCCTAAATTAAGGGCTATTGGCGTGGCTGGGGAGGGCACTTCTCGAGATCACGCCAGAACTCCTCCTCCATCTTCTCAGACTCCACGCGCATCTCCTCGACGGTGCACAGGGGTTTATACCTTTAAAAACCCAAACCTACGTTTGGTGTAGGGTACTACTGACCTACAGCGACGTAGGTTTTGGGTTTAGAGTCGGGCCTATAGCGTCCGACATGAATCAAGAGGACCTCACCTCCTCCAATGCTTCCAGGGCTGTGATTTTCTGATTGGCACGCTCTCCTCCTACTGTACAACTCCTTGTTTGCTGGTGAGCTCTGCACGATTTGGGGCGCCCTTCGCCCCTAATCAGCGGAAGACACAATCAGTTTAGGGTTTAGGGTTTAGGGTTTAGGGTTTAGGGTTTAGGGCTCGCGGATTGCTGATGCCGGTTTGCTTGATGGGGCTCTTGCATCCCAGCGCAAAGATTCGGCCATGATCGTGAAACCATGTGAAGTAGGGTATATATTTCTTGTACCCCCAAAAGGACACCAGGTATATACACTCACCCATTTTAAAAGGGAACCTTATATACACTCACCAAAAACAGTAATATAAACCCTACTTCATGTAACGTACAGGCCGCGCCTCCGATCGCCTGGCCCACCTTTTGTGATGCCACCGGGGCTCGGCACAACCACAAATTACTGATTGCTTAAGAACCCCCCAAAAAATGACAAATATTCTTCCTTATAAGGGTTATATAGGGATTGCTTATTTTATTCTCTTGGGGTTCTTAAGCAAATAGTAGACAAAGCTGACAAAGAATTGCGATGTGCTAGGACATATCACGGCCACGTGACATGAATAGCCAGCATATTTGCTGCAGCCAGGGCTGACCTACTTTGCCCTACTCGAAACATCCTCGCCAATGGGTCGGACACATCATCATCATGACATCCTATCGTACTACATTCTATTCATAAAACATAAAAGAAAGCAAGGACAGATACAACAAGCACGTTTCTTGAGTGTAGGGCCCAGGGTATGCCCGAAAGCCTGAATCGAAAATCGCGACATCGCGTTGGAAGTCTTTCTGCCCGCATGCTACGAGGAAGGCATCTCCTCGCTAGCCTCTCGACGAGACCCAGCCTGTGACGCATCCGCATCGCTGTGGAGCATCCAGCCTCGGTTTGTGAGCACTGCGGCTTCCGCACTCCACTGCGCGGACTGTGACGCTCCACAGACGAAGCCTGAGACAGCCCCACCAGCTGTGCAGGCGACATTCATCACCAAACCCAATGGGCTTGACATGTCGCACGCCAGGGCAGCACCCAAGCCGGCCAGGACCACGGACGGCCACAAGGGGCCACGCGCGGTCTCAGCTATGTCGTGTTTGAAATTCAGCATCTCGATCAAGATGCGATCCACGCGAACGAAGCTCACCACCTGCTCCGTCATATCCACGAGCTCGGATGCACTGTTGCATTGCAGGAACGCGCCCTCATGCCTTGCCATGATGAGCAGCACCAGTCGGCGAAGCTGCGCTCGAGTCATACTCCCCTGTCGGAAGCAGAAAGCTGTGGAGTAGTCGCACGTGGTACTCGAAGGGCTGCAAGGCTGGACAGTGGGTCTGAGTCAGCAATGTCGACAGCAGCGACGAGACCGCGGCCTGAAAGAGCTGCGCCTGGTTGAAGCGGCTGAAGGCATCGGCCAAGCCAGGAAAGTTCAGTCGTGCCGCCACCCAGACCTTGGCCGCATCGCAGCGAATTGCTTCCTCTGTATCCGGGCCCTCGAAGTAGTCTTTCAAACGATACTGTCGGTAGATGGTTACTAACGCTTGAAAGGTCACCCGCTCATTTCCCGCCACAGACATGATGTGCGCAGCCAGCAGCGCGAGGTCAGGCTGATACCCGACATCGGGCTTCCAACAAGCAAAAGCACGCAGAGAGGAAGCGAGCTTGCTCCGGCCCGAAGCTTCTCCGAAGGATGGCACCGAGGCGGGGAGAGGTAGCTCGGCAACTGGCTGGTGTCTCTGCTTCGTGTGCCGAGGAAGGAGGTCAAGGGCACACTCGATCTTAGCCACCACATCGGCGTCCAAGCTGTCCATGGATTGCATGAGGAATTGAGAGTACTTCACGTCCGTGGGCACGCTGAATGTTTTCACCCAAAGCGCACTGAAGTCTTCGCACAGGCGTGGCCCGAGCCATGACGAGTTGATCAGCTGGTCAGGGGTCCACTCCTGTGGCCTCCTTGCGGGAGGCATGTGGCTCCCGGGTCTCCAGCACCCCGTCTTAAAACAATCGAACCCGACGTCCGAAACACTGGAGCCAAGAAACTCGGCTTCGGCGTCCCCTTTCATGAATGAAGATGTCCATGCGGGGTTTTGGGGGCTTGAGGGTTTAGAGTTTAGGATTTAGGGTTTAGGGTCTCTTGAGGATCTTGCCTGGGCTTTAGGGCCTTCAGATAAACACCCAGAACAAAGGCAGTTAGAGGTGAGCAGCTACTGTTTGGCTACTGATTCCAAAAGGGCCCACATCAGGCCCCCCCCTTCTCATAGGCCCCAAACTAATATAATGCGTATTGTAACCCTCTTTTAGGAAACCCGCACATTGCCCCCTAAACCCTAAACCCTAAACCCTAAACCCTAAACACTAAACCCTAAACCCTAAACCCTAAACCCTAAACCCCAAATCCTAAACCCTAAACCTTAAACCCTAAACCTGAAGCTCCCAAGTCCCGCAGTAGAAGCCACGACGAACCCCCCTCCCGGCCTCGGCCATGCGAACGGCCTCAATCTCGGGATCCTCCTGGGGTTCAGGGTTCATATGGGTTTAGGGTTTAGGGATTAGGGTTTAGGGTTTAGGGCTTGTGAGGTCAACGCAAGTAAGGGAGCCAGCGATCTCTTTCAGCCAGAGCCCCTGCTGGACTCCAAGTTGAACTGCGAGGCAGAATCCTGGACTCCTCTTCAGCCCTTTAAGCTTTAGAGTTCAGGGTTTAGGGTTAGGGTTTAGGGTTTAGGGTTTAGGGTTTAGGGTTTAGGGTTTAGGGTTTAGGGTTTAGGGTTTAGGGTTTAGGCTTTAGGGTTTAGGGTTTAGGGTTTGGGGCTTAAGGTTTCAATCTTTTGCACGGCAGTCGCCCCGCTTTACCCATAAACCTGTGACGAGCATCTTTATGCAGGGACACTCGGCCTCCCCTCAACAAAGCTGTTGGCCGAGCCGCGTCCTCGTGCTGAAAGCAGCCAGAGCACTCACTTCCTTCCCTCATCCCTCCCAACATTGAACTTCCCCAAGACGAAGACCCCCAGCACCTCCAACAGCTGGGTGCCCTAAACCCTAACCCCCGAACACCTAACCCCTAACCCCTAACCCCCAACCCCTAACCCCTAAACCCTAAACCCATTAACCCTTTAAACCCTAACCCCTAACCCCTAAACCCTAAACCCTAAACCCTAAACCCAGCAGACCAACGCTTCCGACCCAGTGTCCCCAAGGCCAGCCACGAGCTCCCTGGCCACGGTGCCTATTGCCTCAATACCTCCATCAAAGTCCCCCAGGTTGGAATCTCCGAGGCCTGTGGTGCATGTCCCCTTCTCCTCCACATCTGCAAGAAGAACCTCAGAAAATCGCCTGTCCAACACATATCCCCACGACGAACAGAACTACGAATAATCCTGGGACCACCTCCTGCAACAACACCGAGCGGTCGTCTCGCACGCACACCCCTAACACCAACACCATTGCGCGCGGGAAGACCAGGAGAACCACAACCCAGCAACAACTACCGGATTATAATATCTAGGCATCATCTTAAGGACCTTGCTCGCCTGTCTCGCTCCCCCGTCCGTTAATCGATCGCGATCTGGACCGAACCCGAAACGCTACACTACCCCATCAACCCGATGCACCCTACAACCCCATAAACCCTCCAAACCCTATGACCACTACAAACCCCGAATCCTAAACCCTAGACCCAAAACCCCAAACCCTAAACCCACCTGGGATCATCTGATCTCCTTGCTGACCCCCTCATTCCATCAGCGTGTCGAACTGATGTGCCCATGCTTCGGCCCGGCTCCATGCAGATCAGTGTTTGGGGTTGAGGGCTCAGGGTTCAAGGTTTAGGGAAGTTTCCCCTAAACCCTAAACCCTAAACCCTAAACCTAAACCCTAAACCCTAAACCCTAAACCCTAAACCTGAAGCCCTCCATATAGTGAATCTTTCTCCTCAGCTCCTCCACTGCCCAATGCCCCACCGAAGCTCGGGAGTGTTCCCCCTGGTCTGATGGTAAAGGGTTTAGGCTTCAGGGTTCAGGGTTTAGGGCCTAGACTCTGGGGCTTAAGGTTTAGGGTTTCGGGTTTGGGATGGAACTGCAGACGCAAGGTTTAGGGTTAGCTCAGAGCCGAAAGCTCCTCGCTGAAACCCAAACTTCACATCCGAGTCGCTAGTCCGGAAAATTGGGTTTAGGTTTTTAGGGTTTAGGGTGTAGGGCTGCCGCGGCCGGCGTCCTCGTAGTAGATTTTGCAGTTTTCCCAGCAAGCAGCGACATCCTGAGGCTGAAAGGGTTTCTCGGGCGTTACCACTTTCCTCCCCCCCACCCACGCCCACCCCCCAAACCCAGCAAGAGGAAGCTACACTCCGGCTTGGAAAAATACTGGGCAAAAAGCCACTTCTCAGACCCAAAGCTCTTCCCCCTATGACCCCCCTAAACCCTGAACCCTAAACCCTGAACCCTAAACCCTGAACCCTAAACCCTAAACTCTAAACCCTAAACCTGATTCGGGTACGTACTAAAGCAGGGCAAGCAAGCCGAAGAATACGCGCGGCCAAACGGAAATTACGAGTTCATGAGAGGCCCGAGATCTATGCCGAACTTGGAACCCTAGCAAAAAAATGTTGTTTTAGCTGTCCCTTAGGAAAAAAGTGCACCCCAAATACAAATTACATATTTCCAATTTCCAAGTATCCCTGAGGAACAATAAGGAGTTGTCCCACAGGCACACACACACACACACACACCCACACACCGCCCGCAAACACAAGGAGGACGGTAAGATCTCAGCAGCCTGGACAGTTTGGGGTTTAGGGTTTTGGGTCTAATGAGGGTTGGCTAAACGGGTACCCTTCTGGGTTTTAAGGGGAGGAGAAGCGGAACCCAACCCTAAAAAAGGAAATTAGGGCCTACTCCGGGTCCAAAGGTTGATGGAGGAAATCTTGCACCACCTCATAAATAACAAGTGACATGACACAGGAGCATAAGGGTTTGGGGTTTAGGGTTTAGGGTTTAGGGTTTGGGGTTTAGGGTTTAGGGTTTGACGATGATGGACACCGAGCTGGTGCAAGATGTTTGTCATTGGAACCCGTGGCGCTTCCCGGAGGCCCAAAGTCTCTACTTGGCTTGGCCATTTAAGGCGGTGCAAGAGTACATCCATCAACAGGGTTTAGGGTTTAGGGTTTAGGGTTTAGGGTTTAGGGTTTAGGGTTTAGGGTTTAGGGTTTAGGGTTTAGGGGTAGTTTTTGTTCTTGGTGTGATGGTGCAGTTCCTTAAGAGCCCAGTTTCGGGTACGGCGTCCACGAAGCAAGAAGCGGAACAGTATGATGGGAAACAGCGCGAGCCAAACACGGTCCGAGGTACCAAGGTATGGAACGCAAGGGATCGGGGGATTTAGGGGCTCAGGGTTTAGGTTCTTTAACAAGACCTGCCATATTATGGGGGGTATGGACTAGAAAGGGTCGCTGTTTAGGAAGTACTATAGGGACCTTATGGGTTAGAATAGGGTTTGGATGGGTTATGATAGTACTGTTCTATAGGGACCATAAGGGAATACTCTTTAAAATTATTCCAAACCCTAAACCCTAAACCCTAAACCCTTAAGTGCACACAGTCGGCCTGCCAGAAGAAGTCGGGGTTGACAAAGCCTTCCTCATCCTGCGTTCGAGTTGCGGCAAGCGGTCGGAATCCCAGCCCAGAGGGCCCACAAACCCCTTAACTAAGGGTTTAGGGTTTAGGGTTTAGGGTTTTGGGGTTTGGGGGTTTAGGGTTTAGGGTTTAGGGTTTAGGGTTATGGGGTATTGGGCTCTTTGGAAGAAGGACCAGTAGGGACTCCGCTCTGCACACCTGGTTTTGCCCTGAAGCATAGAAACAGCAAGCCCCTAAACCCCAAACTCTTAACCCTTATAACATCGGCTTCGGGTTTAGGGTTTAGGGTTTAGGGTTTAGGGTTTAGGGTTTAGGGTTTAGGGTTTAGGGTTTAGGGTTTAGGGTTTAGGGTTTAGGGTTTAGGGTTTAGGGTTTAGGGTTTAGGGTTTAGGGTTTAGGGTTTTAACCCTTAAAACCCTAGACCCTATAAACCCGCACTGCCTGGTAGCCGCCGGTCTCGAGGCGCTCTGCAATGGTCCTGGTCGGGTTGCAGGGCGCGGGGTGGAGGGGGGAGAATTTGGGCGCACAAACAAAGGGTTTAGGGTTTAGGGTTAAGGGTTTAGGGTTTAGGGTCCAGGGTGCAGGGTTTTAAGTTTAGGCTTCGGGAGTTCTGTTCATGCATAAGCCCAAACTACTCAAAACCTTGAGGCCCACCCCAAACCCCTGAAATCCAAACCCTACTTGGAGGTTCATGGGTAGCTAGAAGTCGGGTTCGAAGTATGCGAACTCCACTTGTAACCTTATTTGGGGTACTTATAACCCTACTTATAGCTACCCATGAACCTCCAAGTCAGCCCTAGAACCTAACCCAGTTTTGGGTACCGGCGGGGATGCTGGGAGAGGACTTCGGCAAGCCCTAAACCCTAAACCCTAAACCCTAAACCCCAAACCCTAAACCCTAAACCCTAAACCCTAAACCCTAAACGAAGGGCGGGCCGAGCCCCAAAAAAATCCTTAAGCGATACAAGGAGGGACCCGTAGAAGGAACCTTTCATTATCATTTTTAGGGTTTAGGGTGTTGGGTTTAGGGTTTAGGGTTTAGGGTTTAGGGTTGAATCATTCCTGTATACCCAAGTAGCCCCAAGCTAGCCCCTAAGAAGCCTTGTAAGGTTCCCTCCTCTTGTTGCCTGTGATCCCATATACACTTGCGAGTTCTTATGTTGGGACAAAGAAACTAGGAAACGACTGTAAGCCTGTAAGGGATAAACCCTCAACCCAGTACTCTTGGAAAGGGCCCCCTACACAACCCTATAAGGGACAAAGCCTACAACCCAGAGCGCTTCAAAAAGGGCACATAGCTCCAAATTCCACGCTAAGAGCACCCTAAACCCGAAACCCTAAACCCTAAACCCGAAACCCTAAACCCTACTAAGTTCAGAGGAGCCGACCGAAGATCGATGGGATCCGTGATAACCTGGTACGGGGAGACAGCACGAATCTTAGGGTTTAGGGCTTAGGGTTTAGGGATATTCAGCCCAAACAGGGTTAACCTTGTATATATAGCAGGATTCTATATAAGCGTTTGAAAGGTTGAAGGTTACCTACCCAGTCCCTAAGGATTTAACGCAGGCCAGGACGGCACAAATCGGATTTCTGATTTAGGCGGCGTCTGCAAAAAGAAGGCGCGCTACATACCCAACTAAGCTTGCCCTCCTATACTCAGGTCAAAACCTAAATCCTTTACAGCTTCCTACGCCGTTGAAGGTCTACTCCGGATTTAAGGTGCACTGGGCGCGGCGACCGGTGTCTACTCGACACCTTACCTCTGTCTATGGCCCGACCTTAAGTTCACGCAGAGAAATCAGCTCGACATCTTACCTCTGTCTATGGCCCGCCCTTAAGTTCACGCAGAGAAATCAGGAAAGTGATAAGCTTCGCTGTCTTGGGCTGGGCCAGCATGCCTGGAGTGGGGTTAGGATTTATAGGGCTACACGCTAAAGGCGATTTCAGTTGAACTATGAACCCCGAGCCCCTACAAAAGTAGCTTAAAGATGGTTTGGCTGCGTCTTGAGCTGGGAAACGGAGTTTTAACCACAGCAGGCTTCAAATAAACACGCCTATAAACGAACCAAAAAATGTTTGCAAAACACGCCAAAGCTGCTCATGTTTCCACAAGCCCTCGACTTGTGTTAAACACTATGCGAGCCTCGCAATTTGATGACAGCCTAAACCCAGAACCCTTAACCTTAAATCCTACACCCTTAACCCTAAAGCCTTTGTAATCTAGGGATGCTGTGTTGGGTGTGAAAGTTGGCGCGTGATTCAACGAACACCATAGGCACAAGCATCCACGGCACCCAATAAGGAAAGCTGACATAAAAATCTCCCAAGGGCCCTCCCTCACCCTAAACCCTAAACCCTAAACCCTAAACCCTAAACCCTAAACCCTAAACCCTAAACCCTAAACCCTAAACCCTAAACCCTCCACAGACTAGATGCCTGGCCTCCGGGTAGTCGTCAAGTCCCAGCTCCTGCCAGGGGAGAGGCTCCTTGAACGGCCCGGCCTCTCAAGCTGTGCTTAGCTGCAGGTTTAGGGTTTAGGGTTTAGGGTTTAGGGTTCAGGGTTTAGGGTTTAGGGTTTAGGGCTAGGGTTCACATTAGGGTTCAGGGTTGTAGTGCTGAAGGGTTTTAGAGTTTTTGGGCTTTTGGGGCCCTAAGCCCTAAACCCTAAACCCTAAACCCTGGGTTTTAGGGTTTAGGAGCTTTGGATGTTTAAAAGATGTGGCCTTGACAGCTCTGGAACATTGGAGAGTTCAGAGCCCTGAAATCTTGGCACCCAAGTATCCATATCTATGTATATATATATATTATTATTATTATTATTATTATTGTTCTTATTATTATATATATATATATATGTATATACATATACATTTGCATGAAGCCCCACATGTGCGCTTCCTGCAAAGCCCGTGCAGGCGCGTGTCCAGCCTTGGGAAGGCGCACCAGGCGTCTGAGCACACGAAGAAGCTGGCGCTGACACCACCTCGTTGGGTTTAGGGTTCAGGGTTTAGGGTTTTGGGTCTTAAAGTCCATCCCCCCAACAAAGCCTGAGTTGTCAGTGAAGGACCAAACAAATCTTGAGGGCTTGTGGGGTATAGGGTTTAGGGCTTACAATGTTTAGGGTGGGGGAGGTTCCATCCTATGGACTCGAGCTGGTTTGTGTGGAACGTTTGGCCAAGTCATTGTGAAAGTCTGGCGCTGAGATGATGCTGCTTCGGGTTCAAGATTTATGGGCTTAGGGGTTTAGGGGAATAGGGGAGTTGGCGGTGTTGGCGGCTTGGAATTTGCCAGAGTGTTTTCGGATTGAAGACTTGAGAGCGGTTTGGGAATATTCTTTCTGCTGCCTCGAGTACAGCGCATGCGCCATGGACGGCGATGGAATAGGCAGAGAACCTATGCCCCAAACCCTAAACCCTAAACCCTAGACCTTTAAACCCGAAACCCTAAACCCTTACACCCGAAACTCTAAACGCTGATCCCCAGAGCATCCTAGTCCCACCTGAAACTCCTGCATCAAGCCCGGAAACCCTACATAAGGTTTAGGGTTTAGGGTTTAGGGTTTATGGTTTAGGGTTTAGGGTTTAGGGTTTAGGGTTTAGGGTTTAGGGTTTAGGGTTTAGGGTTTAGGGTTTAGGGTTTAGGGTTTAGGGTTTAGGGTTTAGGGTTTAGATTTTAAGACTCATCTTCGGAACTACTGGAGCTACTTGAGCTCGAGCTAGTAGTGCTTTGCTCTTCCAGGTTGGCCATGTTTCAAATCAGCTGTCTTAGTACTGCTTTATGTCTTGGATGGGCAAGTGGCCACCGCAAGCAGTTTCCCTTCATATGTGCTAGCGCGATGCTAGCGCCAACCTAGCGCAGATTTCGCCGCATGACTTTAGAATTTTGGCACGCTGGCAGTATGCATCAGGAGCAACCACAGGGTTTAGGGTGTAGGGTTCAGGGTGTGTAACGCAATGTTCCACAGTCTTACCTAAAACGCAGGCCGCCTATACTACTTAAGCTTCCCGAAGCTGGATCGCTCTAAACCCTAAACCCTACACGCTAAACCCTAAAATGTTAGCCTTTGGAAAGGAACACTAGCGTCTCGCTAGCGCTATCCTAGCGCCTACATGGGGAAGAGCCTGAAACCTGCATATACGCATGGTGCCGCCTTGTGGCGAAGACATAAACCAGCAAGAGCGGAACTTCATATCGCACTTGCATCATATTTTGCATACATGGTATTTTGACGTCCGCCCATATTCCTTAAATCACCCAAAGTGAAGGGTCCCGATCCGACCCAAGACACCCTAAACCCTAAACCCTAAACCCTAAACCCTAAACCCTAAACCCTAAACCCTAAACCCTAAACCCTAAACCCTAAACCCTAAACCCTAAACCCTAAACCCTAAACCCTAAACCCTAAACCCTAAACCCTACCCAGAGGTCTTGGGACAGAAGCCCAAAAGCCTCAGGCGTGCTCCGTAACAAAAAAGGTATGGGGCATTTCCGAAAATAGAGGCTACTTTTTTTTTTTTTTTTTTTGGGGGGGGGTCCCTTTAAGGAATTCTATTCATAAAAGGGAACCCTAAACCCTAAACCCTAACCCTAGACCCTAAACCCTGGTACCCCAATTTTGGGAAATGACCATATCGGAGTATCTGGGCACCGCTTTAGAGGCCTGACTCGAAGACTGAGCGCGCTGCCAGTCCAGAATCCTTGGTTTACATGTAGGGTATAGGGTTTAGGGTAAGGGTTTAGGGTTTAGGGTTTCGGGTTTAGGGTTTAGGGTTTAGGGTTTAGGGTTTCGGGTTTCGGGTTTCGGGTTTCGGGTTTAGGGTTTAGGGTTTAGGTTGCCCTAGAGGGGATGCTTTCGGAAGCTACTTGGGCGTTTCCGAACATAGGGGTACCCTTTGTTTGGGGGGGGGGGGTTTCTTTAAGGAGATTTCATTCTATTTGGGGGTATAAAGGGGGTACCCCTATTTCAGGAAATACCCACTTGGGGTACAGAAGTTGCCGTAACAAGGAAGCCAGATGATGTGTTGCATACCGCATGCTGTTAAGCTCCTGCGCAGCAAGCCAGTTGTGAAGCTGTTGCGGGACCCGAGTTGGCTGGAATTGGGAGCTCCGAAATCAGGGTGCAAGGTTTTTCGAGGTTGGGGCATAGGGCTTCGGCTTTAGCCCTTTTGGCGCGTGACGCGCCAGCGCCGAGTGCGTGGCCCTAGTACTCCGACGCTGAGAAACCGGTGTTGCCGTCCGAACGTTATAATGAGAATCCACCCTAATAAACCCAAAACAAGGACGCTGGGCACACCGGCGCGTCTTGGTTCTCTCGGTCGCCACGCATCTCGGCTCCCTGTGCCCAGGTTTTGGCCGAGTAAAACCGAGCGGCGGTTTAGGCCTTAAGGTTATAGGGTTTAGGGTTTAGGGTTTAGGGTTTAGGGTTTAGGGTTTCGGGCCCTCAGCCCTCGAGCCCCTAAAGCCCCTAAAGCGGGGTTTCCCAAATCAGGGCTGTACCCCTCTTGAGGGATGTTCCTTTTCTCAGGGTTCCCGCGCACTGGAGGTATGTGTTACTCGGAGCTGCATGGGTGGCTATAAGTCAAGAATATGGTAACGATACTTATAGAACTATCCGGGGTTCGAACCCCAAAAAAACCCAACACCCTAAACCCCCGCCCCAAGAGGCACTAATAGACTTGCTCCAGCTGCGTTTCTCCCCATGCGAATGTAGCCGACAACCCTAAACCCTCAACCCTAAATACCAAAGCCCAAACCCAAGTCCCAAGACTTCGTCTCATGTGTGGGAGGGGGTCTGCCGCCTCAATCTCGTCGTCGTCCATGAAGGAGCTCTCCTGGCAATAAGACACGACGTTGAGCCATAGCCAAAAGGCGGAACGAAGTAAACCATAACCAAAGGGCAGAAGGAAGTAACAAGCGACATCGACATCTTTTGCAATGGGATGAAATCAGCCCCAATGTCGAAACCACTTACAGCGTAAGCCGTAATCAAGGGGTCCTTAAACACTCCATGATAAAAATCTAGGGATCCTGCTTGTTATCTCAGGCATGTTCCTTGATTAAGGGGCATTGGGCTCGGTGGATGGAGATCACAGGAGACTCAGGGGTTGACCACTTTTTAAGGGTTTCATGCCTAAGCCCTCAAACCCTATGACCCGGTAGCCCTGTAGCCCTTTTTGGGTACGAGTCTCTCCCAAAATAGGGGTACCCCTTTGATGCCCCAAATAGAATAGAATTTTTCAGGGGACCACAAAAAGGGTACAGTACCCCAATTTTCGGAAACCCCCATATAACTTACAACCCTCTAAACGGAAACCCCTAAACCCTCAACCCTAAAGTCCCCAACCGTATTACCCTTCGTATTCACATTGGGGTAGCTTTCCTGTCAGGGGAGCCCCTGTTAGAGACACATCCGGTGGTTTCCGAAATTCGGGGGTGTCTTCTGTGGGGCTTCGATGATAAGGGTACGGGTACCTAAGGATACAGAAGGCGTTCACCGGTACCATTTTAGGAGCTGCGCCGAGTTTTTTGATGATTCTGTGAGTCCTAGCACAAAATCTCTGTAAGACCACTATGGGCAAAGGGTCTGGCACAGGGTTCTTAGAGCTTTTTGGGCCTCTTAACCTTCACTCGGGATTTAAACTCCATACTACGGCTTTTCTTGACCTCGCACAAACAACTTTGTCCACTAGTGAGGGCTTCCTTCAATAAGTTTTGTGGTCTTTCAGCAAGCGGCCGGTCCCAGACAGGTTCCAGTCCCAGGGGGTCCGGCAGGCAGGAGGTTCGCAGGGTCAGGGGGCTTCCAGAGAGGGGTCTGAGGAGTCAGGTCCCAAAGAAAAGGGCTTTTTTTTGATGCAAGGGTTCGGAAGTTTAGACGAGCTCTTTGGAACTCTAAGTTTGTGAGGGTTCTTCGGGCTTCTAGAGAGGGGTTTAGGGTTTAGGGTTTAGGGTTTAGGGTTTAGGGTTTAAGGCTTTGCTAGGCTACAAGGTGGTGGCCTCACTCTCGTCATCCTCGCCAAAGCCACCTGATTTGTGGGCGAAAGCTTCTCTGGAGTTGAGGCTACATGTATGGTATCTCTACTTCTATCCCTACTTGGGTGGTTGTCAAAACTATGGTCCCTTTTTGGGTTCCCTATTACAATACGGCACCTAATATTTAGGGTACCCCAAAAAGGGATCAGAATTTTGCCAACCACCCACTTCAGGGACTGCTAAGCCTTTTTGCTACTCATGTACCTCCAAGTAGGGCAGCTACGTGACTACGTGGCACCGGGATATGGGCCCCTATAGTTTGGGGAACCCTTATAGACATTTAAATACCCGATAAAACCCAAGGCCCATACTTCAGAAACCTTTAAAGAAGGTAAACAATATTTAAGGCACCATATAAAGGGACCATGTAACCTCCCTTCGAGTTTAGGGTGCTTAAGGGTTTCTGGGCTTCTTCCGAGGCAACCGCAGGGATACTGCTTTGGGGATGTTTAAGGGGGCTCTCCGTCTACCCAGAGAGGACTGCCGCCACAAAAGTCCTGACCACCCCTGAGTCTGAGGTCCCAAACCCCCAACGAAACAGACCCCGAAACCCTAGACCCTAAACCCTAAACCCTAAAACCAAAAATCAGGATGGAAAGAGAAAGCAGAGTGCCCGGCCCGGCAGTGGCCCCTGCCAGAGCAGCGCAGCCAAGGGGTTCAGGGTTCAGGGTTTGGGGTTCAGGGTTTAGGGAGTTTAGGGAGTTTAGGGAGCTCGGGGAGTTTAGGGAGTTTGGGGAGTTTAGGGAGTTTAGGGAGCTTAACCCAAAACCCTAAACCTTAGGTCAGGGAGTTGGGAGTTTTGGGAGTTTTGGGCTCCGCGAAGCCAAGGGGCCGCTTGCTGTCATGGGGCGTGTGGCGGCTTTTGGCTTGGCGTCTCGGGGCTTAGGCTATTAGGCTATTAGGGTTTGGGGTTTGGGGTTTAGGGTTTAGGGTTTAGGGTTTAGGGTCTAGGGTTTAGGGTTGGGATGTTCCCCCTTCTACTAGCAGTCCTAAATAGGGATTCTAGCACCCCCCTATAATCCCCATTAAGGACTGTTGGTGTAAGGGGGAACATCCCAAGCTTAGGGCCCTCCTTCAAGGGTTTAGCAATCTCAGAGCATCAGGCTGCTCCGGTTGCTGCTTAGAGGGCTTGTTTGGGGAGCCGACTGTAGGGGCTAGCTAAGGCTATTAGAATAGGGTTTGGGGGGGGGGTTTAGTCTAGCATAATTGCAAAAGGGACCTGAAGGGAATACTCTTAGTCATTCTTCCGACGCCCAAAGTAACCCGTAAAAAAAAGGTGACGGATGACGCTGGGCGTCGTGGCGGGTCTTTGCCTATGAAGAGAGGGCCCCTTGTACAGGAAGTCTGATCCTGAAGAATGCAGCACAAACTCCTCCATCAAACGTTCCCCCAGAAGGCTTGGCAAGGCCTCAGGATGCCAAATAAGCATCGGAACCTCCCTAAACCCTAAACCCTAAACCCTACACGCGAATCTTTTGCAACCATCCGAGCCGGCCTCGTCGTTTCCATACCATATCTCGTCTTCGCCAGAATCGTCGTCCTCCTGGGCGCCGGACATCTCGAGACCCCGCACTTGGAGAATCATGCTACTTATGGGTTCAGGGTTTAGGGTTTAGGGTTTACTTGGAGGCTCATGGTACTTATAACCAAGTATAACTGTACTTATAACCCACTTATTAGCCCCTGAAGTGCCCTACTGTGGTTGTAAGTACAGTTATAAGTTATAAGTACAGCTGCTATACTTGGTGAATACGTACCACGAGCCTCCAAGTAGGCGTGGGACATATGGTCCAGGCCAGGGCTTCAAGTTAGCAGCCTAAACCCCAAAAGAAACCCAAATCCCCAAAAGCCCTACAAACCCTATAAAGCCTACAAACTCCATGAGCCCTACAAACCCTAGAAAGCCTACAAACCCCATAAAGCCTGCAAACCCTAGAAAGCCTACAAGCCCTCCAAAACAGAACCCCTAAAAAACCCATAAGCCCTGCAAATACTAGAAAACCCTGTAACCCCTTCACACCCCGTGATGTCCCCAAAAAAGTCCCCAAGGTGCTGAGGGTAAGCCCTAAACCCTAAACCCTAAACCCTAAACCCTAAACCCTAAACCCTAAACCCTAAACCCTAAACCCAAAAAGCCCTACGTAGAGCAGCTGGGTCCCGGGACTTCCTTCGCCTCGGTGTTGGCATGCTCCAGGCTCTCCGCAGCCTGCGGCGCATGGGAGGATGTCAAAGGGCCTTCCAAAAGAATCCGGGGTTTAGGGTTTAGGGTTTAGGGTTCAGGGTTTAGGGTTTAGTGTTTAGGGTTTAGGGCGCAAGGTTTATAGGGCTTAGGGTTTAGGGTGCAGGTTTTTGTCGGTTTATGTAAGGTTTCGAATGTAGGGCTTAATTAGGGTGTGGGGTGTAGGGTTTACAGGAGTATGTCAGGGGCCTTCCTCCCAAGAGAATCTGTACCCCTGGTTTGGGGTTTCCAGGGTTTTACAGGGTTTGTCGGGTCTATACGGTTTGTAGGGTTTCTCGGGTTTCTAGGGTTGAGGGTGCAGGGTTTATAGGGTTTAGGGTGTAGGGTGTAGAGTGTATGTAGGGTTTAGGGTGTATGGTTTATTTTAAGGTTTAGGGTGTCGGGTTTTTCGGGATTCGGGTTTGTAGGGTTCACAGGGTTTTGGGGCTTATGGGGGTGGGATGTGTGGGGTTTATGGGGTTGATAAGGTTTATAGATACTTTTGTTTTATAGTGTCTAGGGTTTAGGGTAGGCATGGCCCCTTACTCTGTGTCCCTGCTGCGGACCCAGACATATAGGGCATCCGAAAAGGGACCGCATGAAGGTTAAAGCACCACGCTGCTCCACGGGAAGAAGTTCTCACCACCCTAGTGCGATCTGTGACAGTGCTGAAGTAATTAGCCCGAAGCGCAGCCCAGAAACCTAAACCCTGCACCCCAAACTCTACACTAAACCCAGCACCCTCTGCCTTAAACCTGGTGTCCATGGCTTCTGCCCGGCCCAGCCCCAAAACATTGGAATGTCTGTTGAGTTCAGGGTTCAGACCACCATCCAACCATTGATTCCCTTTTCGTCCTGCACGAAACGTCCTAAGCCTCCATAAGCTCCGGGCCTCGGAGTTTGAGCTCGAAGCTTCAGAACCGTAACATCCAGCCCTCTCAAGAGGCTCGCACACCCGCCCCTAAGTAACCCCGTCGAGGCCTAAACACTAAGCCCTAAACCCTAAACCCTAAACCCCAAACCCTAAACCCTAAACCCCAAGACCGTCCTCTTCCTCGGTCTCGGAGGCTTGCATCAACTCATCCTGGAGGGACTTGCGCCTGCAAAGGGCCGATCTTCGGGTTTCCGTAAGGCTTAGTAGCCCAGCCAGTGGGGGTTTAGGGTTTAGGGTTTAGGGTTTAGGGTTTAGGGTTTAGGGTTTAGGGTTTAGGGTTTAGGGCTGAAGGGGCTCGAGAAACCTATCTGCCCTCCGAGGTGGTATCTTCAGCTCCATTCGCACATTATCCATTTTTCGGGGTGGGCCTGCAGGGCTTTTAGGCTTCAGTTTTGAGGATTGAAGGCGTTAAGGCTGTTCTTCATAGGGCTTTCGAGGTCAAGGGCTGGAGGGCTTAGCAGGCTTCACAGGGCTCACAAGGCTTTACAGGGTTCAGGGTGTGTAGGCTGTCTAGGATCCTCAGGCGTCCTCAGCTAGGGCTCCAGGAGATTTCGGATGTAAGCTCCGTTCCGGTTGGTTGGCCCCGAGCCCTGAACCCCAAAACCCTAAAGCGCTTGAGGGCTAAGGGCGTTTTGAGGTCTTTGATTCTTTGATGTTTGTTGTTGATGGTGAGGGCTGTAGCAGTTCGAGCTGAGGTTTGAGGTGGTCGATTGGGCTTCAGGAAACCTTTCGGGGTTTAGGCTTGCTGAAGCCCGCTGAAGAGCCTGAGTCCAGAACCTCGTGGGTTTACGGAAGCCGCTTGGCAACAAAAAATGCCTCTCTCGACCCAGGAGCCTCGACATTCAACCCCCTAAGCCCTCTAAACCTCCCCTAATCCCAACGCCCGAAACCCCCTAAACCCGTCTGAGTGCGATTGTCACCTCCGTTTCGAACTGCTTGCTGGCATCCGAAGTGCTAAGACCCAACCCCCCCGCACAAGGAGGCGCCAACCACTGAAAGTCCGCTATAAAGCGCAATCATCTCCAAGTGAACACACGCACACACCATGAACTCGATGCAATGCGTGAAGCCCGGCAAAACAACCCATCTCTGAGAATTGATTACTTGTAGAACCCCAAGACCCTGAAACCCTCCACCCTAACCTCTAAGCCCTAAACCCTGCACCCTAACCTCTAAGCCCCTAAACCCTTAACCCTAAGCCCTAAACGCAAAACCCAAAACCCTTCCCCAAACCATCAACCCCAAACCCTAAAGCAGTGAAGAGGGCCTTTCAAGCTTCTGGCGGATGGAGGGGCGCCTCGAGGGAGATGCAGCTTCGAATAGGGTTTAGGGTTTAGGGTTTAGGGTTTAGGGTTTAGGGAGTAGTTGGTTTGCCTGTACGCGGCAGAACCCCTTGTCTTTGCCGAGGTTGCTGTCTCGTAAGGTTGCCTCGGAGTTCGTGGAACGTCCAAAAAAAGAGGGCGCCGCACAAAGTGCATTCGCCAGACCCTATTGGGGAAAGCGTAATCAATCCTCCGCCACTCTACGCCCCAAAACCTAAAACTTGAATTCCAGCGTCTCGCGTCTTTCCCCAGCAGTTTAGGTTTGGTGTCATGCAATTCTCGCACCCAAACTTCAGTGCGATGAACATGAACGACCGCAGATAACACCACACCAACCCTTCTTCTACAACCTTCCTCTACCAAAACCGCGCAGCAGCCCATCAAGTAAAACAAATGACGACCCTACGCAGCGAAACGCCATACAGGGGCTTGTTTACTTAGAGCGTGCCTTTGAAGTAGTAAAAACTGTCATTATGGAGGGGCTACACTTAAAGGGATAACCACTAACTCTTCCTGCGACTGCCAAACCCTACAACACAGCACCATAGATATTGGGCATACCCCCCCCCCGGAATAGTAGGGACCCTAAACCCTAAACCCTAAACCCTAAACGAAGCCCCAGATACACCCTCTTAAGGGAGGGGGGCTCAACCTAGGGAATTTTAGGGAACCTTAGGGAAGCCTTAGGGAGCCTTAGGGAGTAGTTGGGAGCATTAGGGAACCTTGGGTTACATGCCCCGCTTGAACCCTCCTCCCTTTAGCACCCTATAACTTTTCTGTGTCAAGCGGCCTGGTCTCTTCCATCCAAAAGGGGAGAAAAGAACCATGGCCCCTCCAGCAAAGCTGGTCTGAGAGGACGCGGAGATCTTAAGGCCTGTCTGGATTTGGGGGGCTCAGGTTTAGGTCTAGGGTTTCGGTGTTCGGGTTTAGGGTTTGAGGCTTTTGTGATTTCGCGGGGTTTGTGGTTCAGGGTTTCGGGCTTGAGACGGGAAGCATCGGATTCGGGTCAGCTGCAGCTGTGGCTCTGCCTTTGCCTTTGTTTAAGGCCCAGGCACCTAGTTCTATCAAGCAGAACAGAGATTTAGTTCGGGCCGCGGAAATGGCTGAGACAAGGCATCCCAATGTGTCCCGTGGGTGCAAGACGGCAGGACGACTCGAAACAAACACGGAGTGCAAAATACTCAAGGGTTTGGGGCAAGGAATCTTTTGTTTTCTTTGTTCGAGCAAAGCGGCAGTACCAAGCACGTTGGCACCGGCAGCGCGCATTGGCGCAGAACGTGCTGCTGGAATGCCTTGCGAGATGCAGACTAACCTCGGCTCTCCACTAACAAGTGCCAGCGGCAGGGGCCACCGAGTGGTACCAGTAAGACATGGCTGCTGGCTTCTAGATGCGTCTGACTCCTATTCCCCTCGACTCCCAACCCTCAACCCTCAACCCTCAACCCTCAACCCTCAACCCTCAACCCTCAACCCTACACCTTAAAACACAGAAAGATGGGAACCTGGCCCCTCTCAAAACGGGAATGATACCGCAAGGCTACCCTAAACCCTAAACCCTAAACCCTAAACCCTATACCCTAAACCCTAAAACCCTAAACCCCAAACCCTAAACCCTAAACCCCAGCCTCAGTCCATGGCCCCGAGGTTCACATGCTCCGCTGGCCGCCCACCGGGTTTGGGACACGGATCCCTGGGTGCAAGAAGAGCTTTTAGGGTTTAGGGTTTGGGGTTTAGGGTTTAGGTTTGATGTTTGAGGTTTAGGGTTTGGGGGTTGAGCAGGTTTAGGGTTCACGGTTTAGGGTGTGGGGTTCAGGGTTTAGGGTTTGGGTTTAAGGTTTAGAGTTCGGGGCTTAGGATTTGGGGTTTAGGGTAGAGGATTTAGAGTGGAGGTTTCCTTTGTGCTGCACATATCTCATCTATGCATGTATATACAAATGCAAATCTCTCCCTATGCTTATTTCTAAAACTGGTATTTATACATAAACCAACAAACGCACCTCACTCACTCACACACACACACACACATTTTCATGCACACAGACACACAAACACACAAACACACAAACAAACAAACAAACAAACAAACAAACACACACACACACACATGTACTTACAGCTGTAGTTGGTTCTACACCCCCGCCGTGACATACCTAACCTTCGATTCTGTCGTAAATACCCTGCTTTGCACTGCCTGCTGATACAGTTGGTGCTTTGTGTTATTCATGGAGGATTCGCTGTGTGTCTTTATGCTTATAGTTTCAGGGCTCAACTTCTCACTCTTGCATGTCTTGAAGATAATGCTGTCTGGCATGAAGACATGACTCTTAGGTCTGCTGTAGGAACGAACAACATCAAACCTAGATCGATGCAACAAAAACAAAGAATAATTTATACATGCACGGAATCAACTACCGCATTATTTGTTGGGTTGTGGCGAAACACAAATTAATTTCTCATCTCTGATTGAATAAGACTCTCCTAGATCGCCGATTCTCGCCGATGCAATAATTCACGCAAGCTAGCTTCACTTGTGCACATATCTAGGAGTCAATTATACGACTTTAGCTGTTGAAGCTGCACGGTACTAAACAGGTGACTCAACGGCGACTTGCTCAAAAGGTGAGTCGACGTTAGCTTCAATCTACAGTTGTCTGCTAGATGTTTGTAAACTTGTATGTAAAGGCAACTTCTAGCAACGGCAGTTGGCTTTTAAGACGAATGGCCTCTAACTAAAACAGATGTCCCAATAAAGGTATGACCAGAAACAATAATCATAACACTTGTGATTTTCGGTAGCTTGTCTAAGTTCAAGCCGTACGTCAGTTGACTTAAATTTAACTGACCTTCTTACACGGCTAACCAGTCGTTTAGTTTTTCACGCAACACATATACGAACTACATACATAGCTCAATTGCGATTTCAGTAAGTATTGAGATGCAACGGCACCTCAGCCGCTACATTGCGAGAGGTTTCATCTCGCGAAGCTCAGTTTGCACACCGATTGTCCCAGCCGGACATTTGAATCATATTGCGGTCGTAATAATAATCATTGCTACGATCGGGCATCTGCAATCCTACGCAGAGGATGTCTGCTTGTAGGCACACCACTTGTTTGTAAACACCGTCCTGTGTTTATACACACAGATGCAAAACATCACAAAGCTCATGTGTGTTTAGATTCAGGTATACAGACATCAGCTGAGTTTTTATGGCCAGAAAAGTTGAACTGTTTGCCATTTTTGACCTATAAAATCAACAGCAGCACAGCGGCCCCACACAAGTACGTGCCATTTTTGGTAGCAGAATTTGGAATGGGTATCTCAGAGAGGGTTCGCAGCTACAAGCAGGCCGCATGGCCCTACCCCCAGCATTATGCTCGTGACGCGTCGGCGCCACGCCTCAAGAAAGGATCTGTCAAAATCAGCAACACCCTCCCCACCCCCAGCCCGCCGCCACATGAAGGAAAACTAAAGGGTGTCCACAGAACAACCCTGAAATTCAAGTCCTGGTCCGAAGAGTTTACGAACACCATGCCTGAAATAAATCAAAAAACAAATGTATATATATATATGTACATATATATATATATATGGCATCTTCTATGAATGTAAAACAATAGGGTTTAGGGTGCAGGTGTAGGGCTTAGAGAAACCCCAAACCCTAGAAAGATGCTCCAAGGAATCCTTTTTAGGTGCCCTAAAGCAGCCCAAAGCCTGTAAAGCTCCAAACCGGACCACATCAAAAAACTCACCTGGGAACTCTTTTGACTTCGTGGGTTTAGGGTTTAGGGTTTAGGGTGTAGGGTGTAGGGCGCAGGGTAGGGTTAGTAAGTTGAATGATTGGGGGGTTATAATATGGTTTCGAGGGGATACTAAGTGCAGTTCAAAGGGCTTCCAAGCACAAGCCTTGAGACCACAGAATGACAAGGGGTTGACGTTTTAGGGGTTAGGGTTCAGGGTTGAGGGTTGAGGGTCGAGGGTTTTCTTGGTTGAGGGTCGAGGGTTTTCTTAATTTTCGCTCCTTATTGCGATCTCTGAACTTTGAACCCTAAACCTTCGCGTTTAAAGCCTTATATAATACAACCGCAAACCCAGAAGCCCAAAGCCCGAAAGCCAAACCCTCAACCCCAAACCCTGGACCTTAAACCTTAAGCCCTCAACCTTCGTAGGATTTTTCCCTTCGCCCTCAATCGTAAATCTTAAACCCTCAACCCTCGTAAGTAAGGGAGGACCAGCACTCCTAAACCCAAAAACTCCACCTACCCAAGCCCTAAGCAGTTTAGAGCTTTGGGTTTAGGAGGCCCTAAACACGAAACCGTAAACCCTAAACCCCAAAGCCTGAACCAAACCCTAAACCCTACACCCCAAACCCTAAACCCTAAACCCTGAACCCTAAACCTAACCCTCAACCCTAAACCCTAAACCCTAAACCCTGAAGCCTAAACCCTAAACCCTCACTCCTAAACCCTCTAAACACTCACTCCTAAAGCCTCTAAATTCAGGGAGGTGCCGTGCCGGCTGCGCTGGTGGCTCCGACTCGCGCACGCATCTCGTGCAGAGACAATGGAAGCCCATACCTTTTGGGGATTTCGGGTGGGAATCATGTGAGGGTTTAGGGTTTAGGGTTTAGGGTTTAGGGTTTAGGGTTTAGGGTTTAGGGTTTAGGGTTTAGGGTTATGTGTCTTGGGTTTTCGAGGTTTTGTGCGGGGGCTGCCGTTAAGGTCTACATGACATCATGGGCATTTGGCTGAGGCAAGGCTGCTCGTACACCACGTCACTATGGACACCCTCAGAGCCTTGGTCAGAGGCACGGAAAGGACGGGTTTGTGTTTTAGGGTTGGAGGGTTCCGTGCTACAGGTCTCAGCAAGACTTGCAAGCAAGCTCTAGACTGGCCCAAAAGCATTGTCACTGGGATGGCCCTTGAAACACTCTGAAAAATATGCCTGCATATGATCCTCTTCAACCCAAGCAGGGGACATATGAAATGGTGGTTTATGGCAATAAGGGACTCCAATATCGCATAGTAAGGACCCCAATAAGGTATCCTCTCATATCGTAAACCCCCAAATTCTCAAGGACCTCCCGAGGTCATCGTCGCATGAGCACGAGACTGCATCAATTGAGATCAGCTGCGGACCGTCAGGATTTGACGCCGTTCGTCAACAGGCCCTTGGTGCGGGCTCACTGTGCCCTATAAGTCCTAAACCCCTAATGCCCCAAGAGCCCTAAAACCTTGAAGTCCTAAACCCTAAACCCTAAACCCTAAACCCCAAGAACCCTAAAACCCTAAAACCCTAAAACCTTGAAGCCTTAAAACCCATGCCCTCCCATCTCAGTCTGCTCAACCACTGATCTGGGGCGGAGCGCGCGCTTAAAGTCCTCTTGACATTGTTCCCTAGTAACCTATGAATGCGAAGGGTACCCTTTTGGTTGCAAGGATTTAGGTTTAGGGTTTAGGGTTTGCGGTTTAGGGTTTGGGGTAAGGAAATAAGGGCCCACCGCGTAGTGCTCCTGAGTCTTGAAAAGGTTCGCATGAGGCCACACCTACACCTTGTAGCCCAGAGAGCCCAAGAGGGGTTGCTTGGAGGTTCATGGTACTTACTAACCAATTGTAGCTGTACTTAGAACCCTACTTATAATGCCCTTAAAGGGCCTTATAGGGGTTATCCTCCAAGTAGGGTTTCGGGTTCAGGGCTTTGGCCCCTGAATTAAAAAAAACTAGAAAGACCAATAGGTTTAGGGTTTAGAGTTTAGGGTTTAGGGATTAGGGTTTAGGGTTCAGGTTTTCAGGGTAAGGAATTTACCTTGAAAATAGGGGCACGTTTTCTGAATAGAGGGGGGTGTTGGGCTCTTTTGGGCAGTCCTGAACCCCCAAGAGGTGCCTTTAAGATGCCCGGTTTAGGGTTTAGGGTTTAGGGTTATAGGATAGGATCACTTCTCTAAGCTAAGGTCCCTTTTGGGTTCCTTAGTACCAGGCGGCCCGCGATTATTTAGGGTTCCTTTTTGATACCCTGCTTGGGGTACTTCTAGCCCTACTTGTATGAACCTCCAAGTAGGGCACTAGTGCATCCCTGCATATAACTTACGGGGGGGGGGGGGGGGGCACTTGTAGACGTGTTGCCAAGAGGCGCTTAAGCATCTCCGTCTCCAGGTAGCTAACCGTCACGGCCTCACCAGCACGCACCGGCCGTGTCGCGCGCCACTCCTCGGGACTTGCTGTATCTTTTCGGGCGGTTGAAACGCCAAAACCCTAAAGCCCTATGCACCAAAACCCCAAAACCCTAAACCCCTAAACCCCCTCAACTCCTAAACCCCTAAACCCCAAACATCCCGAACCCTGATGGCCCAGATGCCCCAATCCAGATTTGCTTTGCCGAGGTCTTGAGCCCCAGCCGCGCGGCCAGGGCGGCATTCCCAGAGCTGAGGCAGAACTGCGCGTTGGGTTCGCAGGAGTGCCTCGTGAACGCGGAGGGTTTGGGGTTTAGGGTTTAGGGTTTAGGGTTTAGAGTTTAGGGTTTAGGGTTTGGGGTTTATAGGGTTTAGGGTTTATAGGTTTCAGGGTTCAGGGGGTTGAGGGCTCAGAGTTCTACGATCTGGGGTAGAATTTGTCTGAGTGTCCATGCTGTAGCATCTGGAACGCCGACATCTTGACGCGGCTGCTTAGACATTAGGGTTTAGGGTTTAAGCACATCCCTGACTTAAGTCCTTAAATTTTGTTCCTAAGTATTGCCTGTCCGCATCAAGGGTTTGTAGGACCTGAACCTCCCCCCCCCCCCCCCCCCCCCCCCCCCCCAATCCATCAATCCGGAAAACGAGGCGGCCTTTCCAGAACCTGGGGGGGGTATGCCCTGTACTTAAGGTGTTATGACCTACTACTTTGTAGGGTTTGGGAGTCACAAGCAAATCCTAAAACTCCTTCAGCTCCCTGTCATGGTACAGACGGCAAACCCTGTCCACCCCACTCCTGAAGCCGTATGCAGCCGAAGCCCTAACCCCTGAACCTTGACTGCCTTGACTGTTTGTTCCTGGAACCCCGTGGCAACAGTAATCAGTAGAATTTCGAGGGTGCCTTACAGAACCCATAATCCTGAAGCCCCTTCTGGCACCGTGTAAGTTTCGCCCTGGTGCTCGAAAAGGGCACCGATGCAGAAGACGGCCTCAGGGGTCATGTTTCTGGAGATTTTGCAGGTGATGTTTAGGGTTTAGGGTTTTCAAGATGTTGCACAACAGTCCACTCCTACAACGGCCCTCAACACTGCAAACAAACAGAGACGCCCGGCATGTGCAGCAACCATCTGTGCCGGCCTCACCACCATCTGGAAGCGTGTCTGCAGCATTGATAACCATGACGTTCAGCAGTTCATGCATCCGCTCCCTTGACAGCTTTGAGCGGGAGATGGATTTGGGCATCGTCCCTGAACACACTCCGGCGAGGCTTAGAGCAGTGGCCACGCGATCAGTCACCTGGGACATTCCACATTCCGGACTCTCGAAATCCGACTGCAAACTCAAGACGGCTTCTTGGATGCCCTTTGGGGCATCCGCAAAGGCGCAGAGCACCGGAAGCCACCGCCGTGTCAGCAGCACTGCAAGACGATCCTCTCGGGTGTCTTGAGGCAGCGTCTTGCAAAACGCATCCACGCGCTTCCGCTGCGCGGGTGAAGAGGGAGGCGTAGCCAGCAGGGGCATCTCCGTTAAGAGTGTCTCATCGACTTGGGCATCTGATACAGCCTCGACGCAGACACCCTTCAAATCTTGTGGGCCTCGGATGCGGACCTTGGGATCCCCAAGCGTGCATTGCCACATAAGGCCATCTGCTCCAGCAAGAGTCATGGCCTGTGAAAGAGAAAAGCATACTAGTGGTGATACTGGTACGAACCCAGAATCAAAAGTCTGTAACTAAGAGTAACCCTAAACCCTAAACCCTAAACCCTAAACCATAAACCCTAGACATCAGGAACTTGCAAACGTGGCCATGCCGATCACACTCTTCGGATGTCGTACACCTCCTTCGCCTAGAAAACCGTGGTAGGGCGACACTAAGCAGGACCTCACTTGGAGGTTCATGGTACTTACTCACCAATTATAACTGTACTTATAGCCCTACTTATAATACCCCTAAAGGGCCTTATAGGGGTTATCCCAATTATAAGTAGGGTTATAAGCCCAGTTGTAAGTGGTTATTAACCTCCAAGCACTATCAGCATTCGGAGCCGCAATGGCATTGGAACAATCTGTTTTGGCGCGGGAATTGCCCCTCGAGACACAGATCCGGTAAGCCCCAATGTAAGCCCCCATGGCGCAACCCTATCGGCTATCTCCATGTTCTTCAAAGTGAAGGTGTTGATACTGCTGCATTACCGAGCAGCCTGAACAGAACCAAGCACATGTGTATGTGCATCCCGTGCAGCCGGGTAGTACTGTCTTGAACGCTGGCTACACATCCTGGAGATCTTGAGGTAACACGTAAAAAACACATATACACACATACATACATACATACATACATACATACATACATATATATATATATATATACGTACATAGAATTTTACACACATCATTGGAGGCAAGTGCACAGTGGAAGCGGTGCAGACAGGTAGACTGCGCTGCCGGCCACCTTTGAGCAACATAAAGCCTAAACACGATACAACTGTAGTTGTTTGTTCCAAGCTTGAGCTATGCGGTACCAGTATACGCCCTGCCAAGGGCATGACACGCGTCTGATATTGAAGTCCGTAGGCTGTGCATTAGGGTTTAGAGTTTAGGGTTTAGGGTTTAGGGCTCACATTTTCTGCGATCTTCGACGTGACGTCCAGCCAGCCGGGCCCTTGTTTCAGCCAACGGCCATGCTTTGGGCTGCCTAAGGGTGACACCTGCCTACTGATTGCTTAAGAACCCCCAAAAAACAAACAAGATTCTTCCTTACAAAGGGTAATATAGGGACTCTGTTTTCTTGCTATTCTTTTGGGGTTCTTAAGCCTATGGTATCTTCTCAGCGGCTTGAGCAGGACAGGGAATGCAGCGACACGTCCAGCCTGCAGCTGTTCCTCGAACCCTTTCATATACCCCAAACCCTACCCTCAAAACCCTAAACCCTGAACCGTAAACCCTAAACCCCAAACCCCAAAACCAAACCCTAAACCCTAAACCCTTACCCAAAAACCCTAAACCCTAAACTCTAAGCAACTAATTGAAAACACGCGTTGCCAAAGACGGTCTAGAAGCCCCTCCGCCGTCCGCTGGGCCCGGCGGGCAGCCTGGGCAGCCTGGCCTTACTTCTTCAGTAACCAAGCAATAAGAAGGTTTAGGGTTTAGGGTTTAGGGTTTAGGGTTTAGGGTTTAGGGTTTAGGGTTTAGGGTTTAGGGTTTAGGGTTTAGGGGGTTTAGGGTAAGCCTAAACCCCAAACCCCTCAAAAGCTCGAAGTTCATCTATTGGCTAAGCAAGTGGCGATGGAGCTTCGCCCGTCCGTTTGGCGACCGTGCGCCACGGGAGCAGAGCCACGACTCCATGCTCGCATCCTGAGTTGGTTGCTCTTTAACACCCCCACTCAAAGGTTAACTTTCGGCCGCCTTGATATGAAAGTAGAGGAACCCCAAAACTCATAAAGTGCTAAAGTTGTAGTGAAGTCCCACCTAGCTGAGTCACCCCACGTGTTTGGGGTTTAGTGGGGTTAGGGTTTACAGGGGTTTGTAAGGCTTATAGGGTTTATATAGGGTTTAAATGGGGTTTAGGGCATAGGGTTTAGTTTTTAGGGCAGGAAAAAAGAAGCCTCTTGTTTGCTAACGGGTGGGGTGGGGGGGGGGGGGGGGGGGGGGGGGGGGGGGGGGGGGAGGGGGCGAAAAGGGAACCTTAGCAAAGAGAAAAAGCGAGTCAAAACTATTTGCTTAAGCACCCTCCAAAAATCGAATTGACTTCCTTAAAAGGGTATAGAGTAGGGATTAATTGACATCTATTCTTCCAACTAGGGGCAAAATTAGGGATTATCAATTACTGTTTTGGGGTTCTTAAGCCAAAAGTAGTATACCAAAGGGGATCCGAGCATCCTCTCGGAGGATGGCATAGTCCAAGGCTCCATTCCCAGAGTCATCGGTCAGCTCAAAGTCCTGTCGCGAGACCAGGGTTTAGGGTTTAGGGTTTAGGGTTTAGGGTTTAGGGTTTAGGGTTTAGGGTTTAGGGTTTAGCGCTTAGGGTTTAGGGTTTAGGGTTCATGGTACTTACTAACCAATTGTAACTGTACTTATAACTGGACTTATGAGCCCCTTAAGTGCCCTAATATGGTTATTAGTACAGTTGTAGGTGCAGTTACAAGTAGCTAGTAAGTACCATGAACCTCCAAGCTAGAGTAACCTGGGATCATGGGTTTCCCTACGACCCCCATCTTTCCCACCCTTAAATAACCTTACTTAGGCTGCGGCTTAATTCTCTCTAAATAGCCTTAGTTCCCATGAACAGAATAAGACAGGGTGGTCCCTTTTGGTTTCAAGGGGCTTGTAAAGGGAAGCTGAACCGTAAAAACAGGGAATACGGGCCTACTCTGGGTCCTAGGTCAACCCTAAACCCTAAACCCTAAACCCTAAACCCTAAACCCTAAACCACCAAGCTGCGAAGAACTTCAGAGAGCCGACGCACTTAGCCAAATCGCGCCAACATCGTCCAATCCAAAACCCAAAAAACACCCGGGTCTGCTCAGTCTATTGTGCCTTGACCGTTTTAGGGTTGAGGGTTTTGGGGTTTAAGTCCTCTTCCTCCGCGATTAGTCCGGCATCTTCTTCCTGCTGCAGATTCCGCATCTGAGCAGCCGTTCCATCTCGGGCCACCAGCAGCAGCTCCTTGATCTTGGAAACTGCACATGGAGAGTTCTTTAAGTTTAGGGGCCCGTTTTGGGTCCCCTACATAATACGGCACAATCATAGTAAGGACCCATAAAGGAGCCCTAACTAATTGGGAAAAGTACCCACACCCCAAGCACTTGCGCTGTTTCACCAGGTCGGAAACCCGACACCCTGAACTTGAATCAGACCATGGATCCCTGGACTCAAGATCTATTCCAGAATTAAGCGGTATTGACCTCTCTAAGTTATCCTGGGCTTGCAAAGAAATGCAGTACTTGGATGTTCATAAGTAGGGTTATAATCAGCCGCCTAGGTAGGGTACCATGCCATACATCTAACCCTACTTATGACCCATGAACCTCCAAGTATGAATCATGGCTGTGGTAGCTCAGAGCTGCTGAACCACTCCCTGCAGCACGAGGAATAGGAACATATGAGTAGGTGATAGTAGCAGTACTGGGTAGTGCGCATGCTAGTGTAATTAACGGTAGTCGCGGCGTCGTCGTCATCACCATCATTGTCGTCGCTGTCAATAGCACTTACCTCTCGACCCCGAAGAATTTGCGGAGGCTTCCAAAACGTCGGGGTGCCCCTTTTTGGAAGGTGTCCTCTTTGAGGGAACTCCATGATCTTTAGGGTGTATAAGGGGTATGCCCCATGTTAGGAAATACCTACTTGTAATAGAAGGCCAGGGCACCCGGGGAAATGCCCGGCGTAGCAGGGCCGCAATCTCGGGGCGCGGCACCTGGCGCATGCAGCAAGGGATTCACGGAATTCACGCCGTCTGCCCTTGCTCTGCTGGCTGACCCGGAGAGCCCAATGCCCCTGAATAACGAAGTATACCTTCAGCAATAGGCTACAGGTAGCCCCAAACCCTAAACTCTAAACCCTAAACCCTAAACCCTCAACCCTCAACCCTAAACCCTAAACCCTGAAGCGCCTCAGAAGTCGCAATGCTCCAGGCGCTGTCGCAGCTCTCCACCTCCATCGCCGCGTCGCTGACTGCCACCGTGTGCCTCAGCTGCCATGCCCTCCAGCCTTCCTCGAGCCCTAAGCCTGAGAAACCCTATAAACCCCTATAAGCCCTCTAAACCCTACAAACCCCTCTGAACCCCATAAACCCTATAAACCCTACAAACCCCATAGAATCCCCAAAAAAAGTTTCCAAAGTGCTATAAACCCTACATAAACCCCCCGAAAAAGTCCCGAAGGTGCTGAGGGTAGACCCTACAAACTCTATAAAGCCCTATAATATCCCCCCAAAACGTCCCCATGGTGCTGAGGGTATGCGTTTAGGGTTTAGGGTCTAGGTAAACCCTAAACCCTAAACCCTAAACCCCAAAAAAAGAGTCCCCCCAAGGTGCTGAGGGTAGAGCCTCGCTCCTGCTTCAAGGAGCGCCGAGACCATTCTGGGGCAGCCCTGGCGGACGCTCTCGATGAGGAGGGTGGGGGCCGTGTTGCTCACCTGGGTTGCGTTTAGGGTTTAGGGTTTAGGGTTTCGGGTTTAGGGATAGGGTTTATATACCACAGGGTATGGGGTTTGGGCCAGGGGTTTAATTAAGGGGTTGAGCTTTGGTTAATTGGGGTTTGGCAACACAGGGTTTAGGAACGTATAAATTCAGTGCCATGGCATGGAAATATACAGTCATAACAAAAACGCATGGGCAAGCCAAACCCCATTGAACCGCCCGCGACGCCCTAAAGACAGAGACACGAGAGAGTCCCAACATCCCCATTGAACCGCTGCAAAAAGTATGCTTCAGAAGCTCACCGTTGATATCAAAAACAACTCAAAGAAATCATAACAAAGACTTCGAACCGCTGCTCCCAGCACATGCGCGGTGAAGGGAAACCTGTGTTCATGAGAGGTCATTGCGATAAGGTGTGGCTTTGGGGCCTGCGCGAGGGTCGCGCGAGGTCCGCGCGAGGTCAGCAAAGCCCTGGCCCAAATATTGGCCTCGAGCTACTAGAAAAGGTTCACAAAAAGAGCGACTTCCCTACAGTGACCGCTCAATGTTACGACTACTCGTTTTGCTTCCCCCCCAACTTGGGCAGCGAGCGACAAGAAATCGTTATGACTTCGGTGGTTCATTGTAGCGAACCGTATTGCCTAACCAAATTAAACTTCGCCTAAGCCCCAAAATCTAAACCCTAAATCCTAGCACTTCCTAAAACAGCAACAAAGTCGCCTCACCGACAGCGCCATCCTCCGCAGCATTCGGGATGTCAGGATAGATGGTCATCAGGATGTCCAGCAACCTCATCATGTAGTCGCCTGACCACGCTGGGCTGAATAGCAGCGCATAACAAAACAAACGATAAGCACAGCCCTCATCCCCCCTAAGTACCTGTATAGCGCGCATTAACTCTAAAAAGGATCTCTTAACCTGATGGGGATGGGAACTATATATGCCAAAGCCACAACCAAACCCCGACACAGCCTTAAGCCCGTACACCCTCAAACCCTTAAGCGTGTGAACCCTTAAGTCCCTAAACCCTAAACCCTAAACCCTAAACCCTAAACCCTAAACCCTAAACCCTAAACCCTAAACCCTAAACCCTAAACCCTAAACCCTAAACCCTAAACCCTAAACCCTAAACCCACCCTAAACCCTAAAGCCCTAAACCCGTCACACCTCAAAGCCCCCGCAAACAGCTCAAGGCACTCTCGGCCCTCCGGATCGCCCCAAAAAGCTCCCAAAGTGCGAGGTCCCGGTGCGGCACGTGGCCTCGGCAAGAGGGCTCATGATGTTTAGGGTTTAGGGTTTAGGATTTAGGGTTTAGGGTTTAGGGTTTAGGGTTTAGGGTCCCAAACTCCCTACCGTTACATGTGCTATGCGTGCTTGTAGACATATGCCTACCTATGTTCTGACTCGGTTGAACTCTTTCGGGCGTCGGGGGATCCTCGGCCTGTTCGCTGTAGAAACGGAGAGAGCAACAACGAATTTTTGTTCAAGATCCCTGGGGTCCAAATGAACCCTCAAATTTGGGTCATATACCCTCTGTTACTATACCTCCTACTAAGGTATATGAAGCCTAAACCCTATAAACCCTAAACCCTTTTTAGGGTTAACTTGGTCCCTAAGGATGAGCCATTGCATTCTGGCATGGCGCACTCTACCCGATATGCACTCGCATGGAAGTGGACTTCTTGCAGCTGACGGACTTGGTAGCCCAGTAACCACATTATTGTAAGGGTAACCTTGCTGGTTACTTTATAAGGGAACCCTAAACCCTGAACCCTAAACCCTAAACCCTAAACCCTGAGAAACAAAGGGGCAAAAAAGTGCACCGCAGCAAATCCTCTCCAAGGCCAGGCAGCCCTGTGTCAGCTTCCCTAGCCCTCGCTTTCCAAGCCATGCCCTTCATGGTGAATCTTTCACGACAAGGGTTTAGGGTCCAGGGTCTAGGGTCTAGGGTTTAGGATTTCGGGTTTCGGGTTTAAGAATCACCCAAGTCGAGGTGCCACGTTCGCGGATGGCATCCACGCAATCGGCATGACCGGCCTCGACGGGATGCCAGCTTTGTACCCCCTACCCCCACCCCCACCCCCCTCTCCGGGGAGTTTTTTGGGGGCTTTGCAGGGTTATTTCAGCTTTTGTTCGGGTTTCGGGTCTTGGGCACCTGTGAACCGCAAAAGCCGGGATACATTCTTAAACCTTCTAAATTGGGATGTTCCACCTTTTACTTATAACAGTCCTTAACAGGGACTATCGTATCCCTATTAGGGACTGTTAGTCTAAGGGGCAACATCCCAATCATGAAGCTCCAATATTCGACCTGAGGTTGGAAACAAAGCCTGAATTTAGGGTCTGCCTAAACCCTAAACCCTAAACCCTAAACCCTAAACCCTAAACCCTAAACCCTAAACCCTAAACCCTAAACCCTAAACCCTAAACCCTAAACCCTGAACCCTGAACCCCCCTGAACCCTGAACCCTACACAGTAAACCCTTTAAACCTGACCACAGAGGTGCTCTAACAGAGCCTCGAACCCAGAGACTGCAATACCCTCAAGTAGCTCCGTACACCATAGAAAAGGAACCCCTCTTATACCCTAAACCCTAAACCCTAAACCCTAAACCCTAAACCCTAAACCCTAAACCCGAAACCCGAAACCCTAAACCCTAACCCTAAACCCTAAACCCCTAAACCCAACCCCGGGCAACAACTGGATTGGGGGACTTCGGGGGGGCACATAGCCGTCGAAAACCCAAATTCGCCTGCCTTGAGGGCCAGCATGGCGACGTCGTCCCCATATGGATCCTCTAAAACTTCGGGGGTTTGCCGTTTAGGGTTACTGGTTTAGGGTTTAGGGTTTGGGGTTTGTAGTTTAGGGTTTAGGGTTAAGGCTTGAGTAGGTTAAGGGGTCAGGGGCTTTGGGGGCCAGGGATTTCGGGACACAGGCCCATCTTCAGCCCCTGAACCCTACCACCTTCTGCCCAACCTTTTCAGCCCGTGCAGCTGTGCGCCTCCCAAAGCAACCACCATCAGCCCCTAAACCCTAAACCCTAAACCCTGAACCCTAAACCCTAAACCCTAAACCCTTGGACCAACCCTAAACTTTCCTAAGCCCTGAAGCCTGAACCCCAAGCCAGGGGTTTTGCCGGCTTGGCTCCTGATCGCTGCACCTCGCCCCGCCATCCAGCAGGACCTCAGGGTTTAGGGTTTAGGGTTCAGGGTTAGGGTTTAGGGTTTAGGGTTCAGGGTTTAGGGTTCAGGATTTAGGGTTCAGGACTTAGGGTTCAGGGTTTAGGTTCAAGGTTTAGGGTTCAGGGTTTCGGGTTTCGGGTTCAGGGTTTCGGGTTAAGGGTTCAGGGAGGGACTGCTAAAGCGCTTAGAGTTTTGAGTTTGGCTTTTTAGAGCCAAGGTGCAGGCTTCAGAGTCCTTTTTGTTTCTAATGGTTCAGAGTTTGGGGGGGGGGGGGGGGTCTCGGGTGTAGGGTCTAGGTAGTAGGGGGTCCATAAGGTTTAGAGCTTAGGTAGGAGCTAGAGTTTACGGTTGTGTCGATGAGTAGACCAGGAGTCTACAGTTTGCAGGATCTAAGTGGCCAGCTTGAGGGGGTTGTATTGGGGTTTGGGGTTTGGGGTTTGGGGTTTGGGGTTTGGGGTTTGGGGTTTGGGGTTTGGGGTTTGGGGTTTGGGGTTTGGGGTTTGGGGTTAGGCGCTTGCGGTCCCGATGATCGAAGCCTTATATACACCCCTATTGAGCTACAAGTAGAAGGCCCTGCAACTTCCCCCCCCTATAAAGGTTCTAAGTCCCCTAGCTAGGTTATAGATATGTGCATATACAGATATTTATTTATACATATATACATATATACATACATGCAGATGTATATATTACCATACAATTTTACCCTGCTTATAACTACCCATGAACCTCCAAGAACAACTGAGGTTCACGATTCACGGGTAGTTATAGCTAGGGCTCTACGTATGGCAACTATACTTCTAGTACCTCCCAAGCGCTCGCAGGGTTCTACAACTACCCTAAACCCTAAACCCGAAACCCTAAACTCCCCTGAACCCTAAACACCCCTAAACCCTAAACCCCAAACTCCCCTAAACCCCGAACCCTAAACCCTAAACCCCAAGAACCCTTTCCCATGCGCCTCTAGGACGGGTCGGAAGCCCCGCACAGCGGCCGTGGCCAATGTGGTCATGCCGGTGTTGTCGCTGACGGCGTGGACCTCGGGAGCTCTAGGGTTTAGGGTTTAGGGTTTAGGGTTTCGGGTTTACGGTTTACGATTTAGGGTTTAGGAATTCCGGTTTACGATTTCCCAAGCCCCCAAAACTGCTGGACCCGCAGACTGCCAAACAGAAACCCAAAAAACCCTAAACGCCCCACAAAAACCAGCAACAAACCCGAAGCACCCTTAGGAACCTTCTAACAGCGCATATCCCCCCTAAGTACCTTGAACACCTAAAAGCCGTAACAAGGGTAAGCACAAACCACAAATTCCTGCAAACCTCAGACCCTACAAAAGTGTAGGCCATAACTCCCGAATTGCAGAGCACAACTAACCTTCAAAACATTGAATATGAGCAGGTATGTGGCAACCACCGAAAACCCTGAACCCGAAATCCTGAACCCTAAACCCTGAACCCTAAAACTTAAACCCTAGACCCTTCAGGTTTTGGATGCCACAGCACGTCGGCCCCATGACGCAACAGCAGCGCCACGAGGTCCTCCCGGCCCACTTCCACTGCGCACATCAGCGGGAAGCGGCCTCCGGCGGAGCTGTAAGCATGTAGAACACTACATGCTAACTAAACTCCAAACCCTAATCCGCATCGAAGCCCTAATCCCCAAACCTTGTTCAGGGTGACCGGCGTTGCTTTGTAGAGGAACCACTTCAATGATGAGCTGAGGAGCTGTCCGTCCGGCCAGTTTAGGGTTTATCCGTGGAGGTTCATGGGGAGTTGTCAGTAGGGTTGTGGGTAGGGTACCTCGTGCGATAACCGTGCGCACGCGCCTTCCGCATCTCGTGTATCTGGCTTGGCTGACGAGCGGAGCAAGACTTTCACCTTTGCTGAAGAATCCGAAGCCCTCAACTGAAGGATGCAAACAAACGCCCTACTTTGAAAGTTCTTCTTGCGTTGCAAGGCTGCGTAGCAGGGGCATGGTGCAGTGGCAACCAACTCCTGAAACTTCTTGTGAACCTAAAGAGACGAAAATTCCGGCCTCCTGGGCCCCTGCAGCTAGCAACCGGAGCAAACGACCCAAACCTGAAACCCTGCTGTGGCTTAGGGTGTAGGGTTTAGGGTTTAGGGTTTAGGGTTTAGGGTTTAGGGTCTCCTCCAAACCTCCTGATGATGGGGGTGGCAATGCGTCTGTAAGAACTTTCAGCAGGCAGTCTAGAGCCCCTTCCCTCACACCCCTAAACCCTAAACCCTAAACCCTAAACCCTAAACCCTAAACAGCCGTGCAACCAGGTCGCCAGGGTCCCGTCGGCGTCCAAGTCAACAGGCACGCGCGCCGCGAAAGTCAGCAATGTAGAGCGATCCTGCTTAGGGTTGAGGGCTAGGGCTCCTCGCTTTAGCCTTAGGGCGGCTTGGGAAATCCACCGGGTTCGGTGGCGCTGCTGGCCTTTCGCCGGTCCCCAATACTGTCGCGGGGGTAGGCACTATGGCCGGCTTCGGCACTGCGGCCGGAATTGAGGGTTGAGGGTTGAGGGTTCAGGGCTCAGGGTTTAGAATCCTGCGCCATTTTCTGGCTGGTTCTTAGTAGGTAATGGGGGAGTGAGTGCCCTTTTGCCCTACTGG